ATGTCTAAGAAAAGAACATTCAAATATAAGCAGTAGATGTGACGTTTAGGCATAAAAGAGACAAGAGTAGAAGAACTACAAGAGAGGACACGTCAATATGGTTTTCATTGGCTCCATATGTAATGCACGAACAAAAAGATGGTGTGTGTGAGAGAGAGATCCTGTGATGGTTTGACAGGAAGCAAATAACTCCTATTTATATAGCTTGAACACAATGCAAATAGTTGTAGCTAATGAACAATTGCAGTATTAATTTTTTGAGAAGGAAATTAATAATTCTTTTTGAAGTGCAGAAACCACAGACTGAAATTTCTTAGTGTCAAAGGCTATGACATAAACAAACTTGGATTTTGCTATAAATTATTTTCTTCCAGTAAACAAACAAGATAACGTCAAAGTAGTGTTCAGCAGATGGAAAATGTGACTAAAGGGCTTTCGAACCTTGCACTGGCTATGTGTTGCGCTGCACTTGTCAGCAGCTAATGCCAAACTTATTAGGATAGTTGCAGCATCTTCATACCTGCATGTGGTGAAATCAAAGTCATCATCACTTACTAAAGGGAGAAGTGTACTGTGTAAACCACTTCACTTAAGCACATAAGACTATTAGAAACGAGACTTTTTATTTATTTACTTTAGGTTTGCGATACAACTCTCATGTGTGTGTCTAATACTCTTTAATCTTACAAACACATGAAAATATTTTTGATATCATGTTTGTATCTGAGGCTCAAAACCAGGACCTCTAGTAGATATATTAATGAATGGTGCAGACCCGCTCCATCTAAAAGTTAAGCATTTGAAGATGTGACACTTCTATTTATTTGTTTTAGGTTTGCAACAGGGAGGCCTATAACTTAACAAAATTCTTATATATAAAAAGCCAAATCACTCAACTTGGTTGTGACCTTTTTAGCTCGATACGTTATACTCCCTCCGTTTCAAAAAGAATGACCTCCTTTCCTTTTTAGTCTGTTTAAAAAAGAATGACCTCTTTCTTTTTTTGGTAACATTTTAATTTCACCTTTCTACGTGGCATGTTTAAGACCACAAGATTAAAGGACAATTTTGTACATTTGACCTAACTTTAATTTAGGACAACAGGATCAAAAGTCTTCTTTATTTTCTTAAACTCTGTGCCAAGTCAAACTAGACCATTCTTTGTGAAACGGAGGGAGTAACTTTTTTTCATCAGAAGGAAACAAAGAAAAGAAAAGAAAGACGTTGAAATGTACTAAATTAATACATTTCAATACACTAACTTCTAAAAGTAACATCTGCCTTGAGTGTAATTCTTACTTTTCAAGCTTCAGATAAACCCTTGCAGCATCACGATATAGATCAAAGGCCATTTGTTCCTTCCCGTCCTCTTCAAGAATGGCACAGGCTTCAGTATACAACTGAACAGCTACATCAGGTGCTCCATCTTCTAAAGCACTATAACATCAACAACTTGTTAATCATATACGATACAATGTTTCAATCTCAAGCGAAAGGAGAAAGTGTCAGACACATAGAAGGAATCTATAGTTAGAACATATAGAAAACTGTTAGATCCATCAAAACAACTCCCCTCTCTAACCGAGTTTCCCATCGAACAGGTTTTGTAAGGGAAACAGAAAGGCGTAGGGAACGTTAGGCATGGAATTTAGACTTATGTCAGACACAAAGCTGGCAGCCTGGCACTGTAGGATTGTGCCAGTGATTACCCGCCTTTTCCATTTCCTTGTTTCACAAATATGTAGCGTTATATTAACTTTGATTTATATATTGTTAATTTGATTTTTAATGATAGTTTAGCTTATATTTAGATTCAATTTTTTCGATGAACTCATTTGACATTACATTAAGCTTGTGTTTGGACATGCGATATGAAGTCAAGTAATCAAATAAGCATTTGGATATGCTATTTGGGATCATGATTTCAAATCCCAAATCCTCCAAAAACATATGATTTGGGATAACAAAGCTTGATTTCAATTTATTTTTTTAAATGTAAAACTTCACCCATAAATTTATATTTTGTAAAAAAAAGATCCATAATTTTAAATTTTGCATACAAAGACTCATGCTCGGCTTAAAGAGATTGTCCATACCATGTGAAAATATTATATTAAAGATAACTAGTTACTACTATTATTGACTAGTGGATCTTCATAAAATTATGTATATTTGGAAGATTGTAATCGCAAACATTTATCTTTTATATAAAAAAAAAGAAACACGGAGATATGCAATTTATCAATGCAGTGACTTAGGATACTTCGATATCTTGTTTATGAACTATGGTTTGCTCATTTGGTAAATTTTTATAAGAATTTGGAAATTTTTTGATAGTTTTCACAACTTGTGGTGTTTTCATGTTTATGAGAAAAAAATACAACTTAAGAAATCTAAATCGCATGTCCAAACAACTCCGCATAAACTCTATCGTAAGTAATGATCCGGTTTAATGACTAATAATGTATAGTCAGATTCAACAAATCTAGACCTCAATCTCGTACTAGTTAGTGCTACTATATTAATCCCATATATGTTCTGCTCCATTTAGGCCCGTTTTCCAGAACTAAACAAGGGGTTCTCTAGAAGTAGGGATTCTCTAAAACTGTAATCAGATAAGACTTAGAAAATCAACGATATTAGAAATTATAATTTATATAGCATAAAATACTACCGCTGCAATTTTGACAAATGCAGCCAAATAAGTCAGCAACATACCGCGCGCCTTTTCCAAGTGCGTCAGATGCAGGTTGGGCCCTCCCACATTCATTGTACAACTCAGAGGCCCTTCTATAAAAGTCAGCAACTTCTTTCCAGTTGCCTAGTTCCTTTGCCATGGTAGCAGCAGACTCCATATGCTTAGCAGCATCCCAAGGCCTGATTTACTAGTGAAGGATCCCAAAAGCCAAAACTGACTCAATCGAAGAACAAGAAGGAAGATCCAAAGAAACCAATTGGGGAAAAGGATACGAGGAAAGCATCTCTTGTCCTTTTGAAGCTTTTTCAAATGCTTCTTTTGCCTTCTCAAAACTTTTAGAAAGCCTAAATCCATTAGCTGTAATGAATGAACATAGTATCTGTCACGTAATTAACATGCTAAAAGTTTCCATATTTATGTAATATTTGTTTTATTCACGAACATTGTACATACCTGCCTGCTCATACAAACCAGTAGCACTTTTCCAATCAATACTCCACCTGGTAAAACTTAGTTTTGTCCTATATAGATAGGGAAACACATAATAGTTACATAAAACTTAAAAGGCGGAATGCCCCCAAGGCCTAACTCAAGTGGCAAAAGGTAAAAAAACTTTAAAGGCGGAACAGCACAAGTATTAAATTAACAAAGGCTTCTTTTTGTCTTCACATTAAAGGAACAGAACATTCTTCCAGCATTCAAAATCTCGGAGATGGTATTTTGCATCACTGTAACTACAGCTAATCTCTCAGAAGTCAGATCAAGCACATTAATGGAAATTTTATCATTCAAGTCCCTAATCTAGATATTGATACAGAAAAAGGAAATGTTAACATTAATAGAGACCACAGATAGTAATCAAGATCCTCCAATCTTTGATCAAAACACTATTTTTACTGCTTGGTGTATATAACTACTAAAAAATCAAATCTCACCAAGAAAATGGAAATTATCTTAGTTCAATCATCACACAAGGGGAACAAAGCAGACACATTCCATTACCACTTCCATTCAACAATTTCAAAAACTATACCAAAATATGGTCTTTATAGACAGCTTAAAAAATTACATGTACATAGATTGTGTATATGTGTTGTAATATACCATCTTCACACCAGCAACTCAAAGAAAGAGGAACCCCTCTTACACAGACTTGATCATACAACCATAACAATCTTTATATAACAAAAATTGTATCTTTATATAAAAACAATTGTATCTGACAAAATTGAATACAGAGCAAAAATTGTATCTTTAATGCAGAGTTTATAGAGATGGGTATTGGGGTCGGGTGGGGGGGGGGGGTTGTTCTTACAGTTTATCGGCTTTGCTGATCAACTTTTCAGGATCGGAACCCATGGCTGATGTGCTGTGAGTTCCTTTCTTGCTTCTCCGGTCAATCTGAGAATCCGGTTTTGTTCCGCATTTGCAGGGACCCCTATGAGGAAAATGCAACTTTTGATTAATTCCGCAGTTAGCCCCTCATGTTTGGTGTCTTAACTTTTGACCCAAATCAATATGATATTTACAATACACTCCTTTAAGTTTCTAAATTTATACTTTTCATCAACTTATTTATTTATGTTGTTTCGAGTAATTTACAATTTGCATTCCTACTAGCATTACTAACAATAAAATGAAGAAAGATAGCAGCTTCTACATCATCTCTCGTCCGCTCTAGAAAATACAAGCTGTAAATGAAACCTATGTGAAATTTGGAAAAAAAAAATAGCTTTACTTTTCAAAGTTAATAATAATATTTGGAAATTGGAGTTCAGATTGAAATTATTTTTGACAATTTGTGAGTAATTTAAAGTAAGAATGCACCTTATTTTTTTTCAAATTCTTGAAATTACTCTGTTGCAACTCTTTTTTTTTTATTAGTCATTACAATATGTATGTTTCGTATCGAATAATTACTTAGTCCTACTGAAGAGGTGCTAGATAAGGAATTTATACAATATTCAATATAAGATTAGTTAAAGATTCCTTTATGTTTGTATAATTATAGTAGTTCTATAAGATATTACAAGACATGAGATAATGGAAACAAAGTTTCACTCTTTATTTTGGATTAAAATGTCCAAAGATACCTCTTAAGGAAGGCCTTGCTACATACAGTTTGCTTTCACAAGTATACAATATACACTACCCACTGGTCTCTACTACAGAAAATTGTTTTACCCTTTTCGGAATACGATAATATGTGCTTTTTTCCTCTAAAAACACAAAGAGGGAAAAAGAAATTCTATTTTCCTGGGATAAAGAATACAATCATAATGAAGTTCAAGCATGTCTGATCAATTGTTGTTATGGACTCCTCCCCTCAAAACTTCATTCCGCTGTGGTAATAAACACCAACATCCTGTAAGAAGACTGTACATCTGCAAAATTGCAAGAATTAAAGAGAGTAACCAACAAGATAAAATTCCAAAAAGATATTTGCCTTGAGAAATTCGAGCGTAAGATTATACTGCTCAGTAACTTATTACGGAGTACATAGGAAGGTAAAACAAGAAAACTAGGACTACGTCTGAACTGTGAAGATAAAAAACAAGAATAATCGGAGCATATTTTTAAGAGAAGTCTGATCAATGAACTTCTGTAATTTCTAGCTTACTCCTTGATTTCTACATTTTAACAACAAAGTTCCCTAGACTTGTCTACCGTCATGGTCAAAGTTAGTCTAGTTATTAATAGAGATGAAATACCTCCATTGTATCACACAATGGTCGCAAGTTCCAAACTTGCATTATGTTATATCACTTGTGCCTGCAGCTTCAGTGTGATGCATATAAATAGATTAGAAAATCCAGGCATACCTCAAGTCAGTTATACAATGTTGCTGCATAGTCTTCACGCATTGTCAGATTGACCTATTTGATCTTTATGAAATACAGGCTACTTTACAAGGCTATTGACCAACTTCCTCACCAAAATTTTTTGCCACAAATTCATCAAGCTGTCCCCAATTAGGAGGATTAGATTTGCTATCTGAAGGCAATGATCTGATACATGCAAGAATATGCTGAACATCGCAATACATTCTGTTGCAAAAGAAAATAAGTTAATAGTCATTTTTGATGAAGAGAAAACAAGTTAATAGTCATAACAATCAACAGAGGAAGAAGTGAATGACAAACACAGGCAATAAGAAAAAGAACAAAAAGAAAAAAGAAACTTGTCAGCCTTCAACTCTAGGATATATTTGTGTTACTAGATGCCATCAAGTTGTTGCTTAAAGTGACGAGAGTAATGCAAATTGAGAGATTATCATATCATGTGTTAAGCAATGCTGTTCCATTTAATGTGCGCTTTTAAATAATGAGGCACAAAGTAATCTAACCAGACGCAATTGATTTTTTTGTGTGTGTTTGTTAACCAGAAGCAATTGACGCTTTGAAGGAGGTATAGAACACAACAAAAGAAAAGGAAGGACAAAGTGATTACTAGGAGTCTTCCTCAACACGTCCATTTCCAAATTTTCATTTTCTTCTTTTTTCATGCATCTTGAGTTTGTGATGCCTCTTCTTCTTCTACTTATGTTTAAATGCTTTCTTCAAATAAAGACTCCCCAAAGATATCTATATCGACTTATTGATTTTTAATCTATTGCATGTACACGCACACACATACAGAGTCTCTCTGGCCATTATCAGGATTCTAGCATTTTGTTAAGTTGATGCTCTGGTGCTCTTTCTTTCCCTCTTGTATCCTAGATTCAAAAGCCTTAGTACATTATGTAGGCATTATAGGAACTTCAAATAGGTATGGTATAGCATGGACCATATTTTTTATACTAGCATGGAACTATTGTTTTGACAAGAAAAGTAAGCACTCTAGGAAGTTGAAATGATGAATAAATTAGCTCTTGGGAAAAGAAAATAATAATTCATCCGACTACACAGCATTACATTGATGTATCTGAACAAAAAATCATTTTACACACTAAAATGAAGCCATACCTTTGTTTAGCATGTGGACTGCTGATATCCAAGTGCGAAAACGCTTCTGAAATTTGAGAATGGAAGATAATAACCACTTGCCTGCAAGTATGACATTCTTTTTAAGCAAGAATTGATATACTAAATGTCAATTAAAGCAACGGATATAGATGCAAAATTACTTCATGCCAGCACTGAATATATGAAAACAAGGAAAACCTTATGAAAAGAATGAACATATAATAATGAATAAACAACCACCAACAACAACAATGATAAGTGCTTCTAATGAAAAAATAGAATAGCTTTAGAGAGAGAGTCCTTGAAGGGGAGCCTTGGCGTAACTGGTAAACGGGTTCGAGCAGTGGAAACAACATCTTGCAGACATGCAGGGTAAGGTTGCGTACAATAGACCCTTGTGGTCCAAAGAGAGAGAGAGAGAGAGAGAGTGTGTGTTCTTCTCCCTAGAAGCAAGAAAATTCAACCTTACAAGGATGTTTTGACTTCGCCAATACTGATCCTAGATGGTGAATGAAGGAAGAAATGAGTACTTAGTGAAGATCTTGGTCGGGAGGGTCAAGAAGAAGGTCTAACCCCCAAAGCTGATTGTATGTTCGTCCATAAGTGTTAAAAATTTATCTTAGAAAATATTAACAAGATATGTCAAGATACCCCAGTACGGAGGTGTGAGAGGCTGGCTATGGATAGTTTCAGCAAAAGTAGAGGTATACCGAAGAAGTATTGGGGAGAGGTTATTAGACTGAACATAACACAGCTTCAGCTTACCAAGCACATGAACATAGATAGAAGGCCATGGAGGACACAAATTAGGGTAGGGGGCTAGTAGGTAGCAATGCATGTCTTGTCATCCGCCCTTACTAGTAGTTGTAGTATTGCATCTGTAGCATTTCAGAACATAGTTACTTTGTACTCTAATGATGGAAAAGGCTATAGCTTAGTAAACTGGGAAACTGCTCTACTTAGCAAAGACAGAGGGGGGCTGGGAATTAAGAACTTGAAACTACAGAATGAGAGCCTACTGAAGAAGTGGTTGTGGAGGTACACTGAAGAGAGAAATGCCCTCTGGTAAGAGGTGATCATAGCTAAATATGGTGAGTTAAACCCTTGGTGTACAGAGATCACAACAGAACCTTATGGTGTGGGTGCATGGAGATCAATTAGAAACTTGTGGTCACAAATGGAGACAAATTTATATATCAAGGTGGGAAGTGGCACTAAAACAAAATTTTGGAAGGATGTTTGGATAGATCAATCCCCTCTTAGGGATCTCTTTCCAGATCTTTTTCAAATTTGTGGAAATCCTGATGCCAATGTTGGTGATTGCTGGACTGAACAGGGCTGGGATCTAGTTTTTAGAAGACTTCTCAATGATTGGGAGGTGGAAAGGGTGTCTGAGATATTAGGGATGATGCTAGGCGGAGTGATCATCAACGCAAATGCTACAGACAGGATGTTGTGGAAGCACAGCAAAGATGGCCTTTTCTCAGTCAACAGTGCTTACAGAAGAGGTCTCCAGGTGATGGCAGGGAGACCAAAACACCTCTGGAACTATTTTTGGAAGGGGGATATTCCTACAAAAGTGAAATGCTTCACTTGGCTAGTGATAAAGAGAGTTTGTTTAACACAAGAAGTACTTCAGAAGAAGGGTAGACAGCTGGTCCCTAGGTGTTTTTTATGCAATTTGACAAGTGAAACTAACAGCCACCTCTTCTTGCACTGTAATTACACTGCTCAAATCTGGAATTTGTTCCTTAGCATCTCAAATCTGAATTGGACAATGCCAGAACGTACATCAAACGTGTTGAAGAGCTGGGTAAGGAGAGGAGGCACCAAGAGCTAGAAGAGATGGTGGAGGTTAATACCATCATGTATATGGTGGTCAGTTTGGAAGGAAAGGAATAGTAGATGTTTCGACAATAGATCCAATTCCATACACAAGGTCAAATGGAATTGTATAGTATCTCTACTTTTTTGGTGTAAACAGTTGTGTATAGTAGATACAGAACAGATTGTAGATTTGTTAAGAAGTTTGTAATTGACACTTTTTGGTGGTGGCCAGCATGCCCTCCTTAATGCTGAAGAATACAACCTTACCAGTTTCAGGAAAAAAAAAAAAAAGAACAATGCTGTGACAGCTGCCAATAAAAGATTATTCTGAGTCCCCCCAAAAGACTAAGGTTCTTTTGCTCTGCCCAGGACAAATTCAGGAAAAGTTTAAAAGTTCACCTGAAAATAGCTTGAACATCTAACTCATGCAGGGTTCTAGATAAGACACGTTGAAGAAGGCCAACTTCCTTCAAACAGATTAAGAAAACAAATCAGTTAGATACAAGTTCCTGTAGTAGTAACGTTTCACAAAATTTTAGAAGAAGAACATCATAAGAAGCAACATTAGAAAGTAACTTGCATGCAACAACTATACAGAGAATCAAAGTAAAACTGTAACCTCCAGGCTAAGATAAGAAACATCAAGGGTAGCAATTGAAAACGAGAGCAGACTTGCATAGTTTTACATTGCATCAAATATCAGAGAAATGTCATATTTGAAATTAGTTCACTAACTCAGCAATAGCCAATTGCCTGTAAATTTCAAACAGGGTTCGAACTTTTAGCCATTAATATTTCAGGTCAATTAGCTGTCACTTGACAAACCCAAATCCATTACAATTAAGAAGGGTTGGAGTAAAACATGGCAAGTTGCAATCCATTGTGTGTCTATGCCTTTTTCCTTCTTCTTTTTTAACAAGGTAAATAATTTTATTGAGAATAGGAAGAACTCCTGTATACAAGTGTTTCTCATATGGTTTATACATATGGAAGGAAAGAAAAAAGATAGCACTTAAAGAGAGAGCATGATACATAAGTTGGAAGAATTTGATAACTATTTTGGTCTTAGAGAAGTTATTGGTGCACACTGTTTTTGGTGTAGACAGTCTCACTCGGCAGAAACTGTTGAAATTCTAGATGTATTAAGCTCCCTATAGAAGACTAGAATAGCTCCAGTTTCTTAAGAGTCTTTTGATGTAAATATGGTGCAAGTACAACCAATGTACTGAATGATCTTAATCATAGATAGAAATACACAAAGTTACCAATTTAAAAAAAGTGGCTGCAAATTCACAAGGACACAAACATAAGGAAGGGGTGGAACAAAAATGGGGAGCAAGAATTGGGCTTACTACAGTATAACTTGTACCTTAGTGATAGAACGAGCAAACTGACTTGGCTGTGTATCAGTATTTTCTGGCCTATTCCAACTCTCAACAATCTGTGGCAGCCCACGGAGGTGGACCAGCAACCTTTCCCTCATTATTTGCACCAACTTTGAGTGTATCTCATCTCGGTGCACCTTATAGTCCTGAATTTCATGCAAAGATCTAGAGTTAAAATAATATTTCCCTACCAAAACCTTGGATTATGAGTCTGATAATCTCAGCAGTCAGCACAGAAAACTTTTTGATTGGGGCCCACGGCATAGTAGTGATTGATTTATACACAGAACTAGCAAACATATTCCTCTATGTTTATACAGTAGAAATGGAAACGGACAAAATGCAATTGTCATGTGAGAGATAAAAGAAATAAATTTCACAAAATAGGAGAAACTGGAAAATGCATGGTTGGGGATAAGCAGAACCCCGTGGTTATTAGAGGAAGAGTATTACAACATGAATTACTAACCTATTACAGAAGCAGGCTACCCCAAGAAGGTCGACGCTGAATTGTTTTACGCACTCTTTTTTTATCTTCCTTTTAGTTTGGCAATATATTGCAATATAAGGAAACATCTCGAGCCAAAAGATACTCCAAGCCTAAATTTTAATGGTAGAAAGGTCACATGAACTTTCATTTTATTCCAAAGTTTTTGCATTTATAAATAATTATAAGTCACTACAGCTAATAAGATGCATTCATGTGATAGATACAAAAGGAAGAAACTAATCACAGCCATCTCTCTCCACTTGGCGTACAAGTGCCAACGTACTGAAAATAGTCCAAGAGATCCTGAGATTCTGTTTTTGGCTCCCACTGAACCTTATAAACAGCTTTAACTCTCCATATGGTCAATTTATATTTTATTTTTTGAGAATAGTAACATTTCTATCCATCAGTACAAGATTGTACTGGCATCTGAAATCCAGAGAATATATTGTACTGGCATCTGAAATATCGAAGCATGGACTTCCTCATTTCCAGATAATCAGACCAAGCTTCTGAAGAAGAAATGTTTTCAGTAATATTGTACAATTTGTCTCCAGAGGTGAAGTAAATCTTGTTCTCCATGTTTTTGAACAATCACAGCGCGTGATTAGAGAAAAACACAGAACCTGTTGTTGCTGTAGTGCGGGAATCTCGGAGGAAGAGTCTCAGGGCCTTACCTGAAAATCGTGTCTGGGAGCACTTGCATATTTCTGGTGATATCGTCAATTAGGAGACATCAAAAAGTGATTTTCAAAAGATACGCCCCCCCCACACACACAATTGAATACATTTTCTCTTTTCTTCACAACACGTTTTGTGAGTACTGGCATAGAAAAATATTTATAGCATAAATATAGATGCACAGACAGGAAAGGAAAAACCCCTATTTCAAAAAGGAGAATGTTTCGCGGAATTTTTTATTGTATGAAATAGACCAAGAACAGAAATATATATTAAGTTAGAAGTGGATTTAAGCAAAATGCACCAACAATAACATATAAAGATTTCAATACCTGTGCTACACGATCAACCTCCAGAATCAGCAGTCCCTTGCGTGTCTCAGGCACTTTAAGTAACAGAATCCTCTTGAGTTCTTTGACAAATACAAAACTTGTCAGGAAAAAAAATTGAGTTCTTAAATCACAAGGTACTTAAATTAAGGTATTTCTGGCACATTTTCATTTATGAGTATGCTGAGACTTCTATGTAAAGCTGCTTATAGATCCATATTATGCCATGTATCGACCAACATTGCCTAAGGTAACTACTAAGTGAAGGTTTCTTATGCCAACGCTATATCAACAAATTGAGTTTATTAGTTAAACTGTTAAACATTCTTGGTCTTTACTTTCAGATAAAGAAAATTTATTGAGTGGTGGTAGTAGTAGTGATTTTAGTCCTATCAAAGATTTACATGTCATAGAAAATATAGAGACTTCTAATGCTTATTATAGTAATAGTACATAGTAACAACAACAACAACAACAACAACAACAATAATAATAATAATAAATATTAGAAGTTCTCTATATTTTCTACTGGCATATAAATCTCAGATAGAAACTAAAGACTCCTAGAAAACGTAAGACCTAAAGTAAGCATGGTAATGTGACTAATTCCAACTAATAGGTATTTGCCCATTATAGATCATTTTCATTTTATTGTGCCTTAATTTTGCTAGGACTAGGTGGACTGAACTCCAAGAGATTGTGTGTCCTTCAATATAACTTCTTTCCATGTGATTTTATGTCTGCCTCAGCTTTTTTTAAAACCTCCACTCACCATAATTTCATTTTCGCACCTACAGACCGGTGCATCTAGAGGTAACACAGGACATAACCAAACCATCTCAACCTATGTTCTCTCATTTTATCCTCGATATGTGCTACTTGTACCTCCTATTGAATGTGATCATTTCTAATCTTGTACGCATGCACTCAATCGTAGCATGCGCATCTCAGCAACATTCATCTTGTGGATCTGTTGCACACTTGCACTTCAGGCGGTCTAACATCCACTCCTATATAACATTGCATGTCTTATAAATGATCCATAGAACTTGCCTTTTCACTTCAGTAGATATTCTTTATATGTTGTAACATCTTTATATCATACTATTCTTTTTGATAATGAAAAAAAATGGATGTGTAATATCATACTATTCTCCTGAGACATCGAACCTAGATATCTAAATTATTTACATCTAGGCATAGCATTCCCATCGACCCCCGCCTTAATTTCACTCTATCTTTTGTTGACTAAACATGCAGTGCATCTATGCAGTCTTACTTCTACTCATCTTTTTTTTCTTATGAAGTAAGAAATCTTACTTCTACTTTTCTTAAAACCTGTACTCTCAGGAGTGCCTCTCATAACTCCAATTTTTGGTCAACGTCCTTGCTTGTTTCATCAATAAGCACAATACCGTTGAATCCTAACACCAGAACAGTAGATCGAAAACTACACAAAATAGTAACCTTAGCATGGTTTTACTTAAGAAAGAATGTCCAAGCATGAATTTTTGTCTCTTCAGACACCTACAGGATAAATGCACCTGTAGACTAGGAATTGGACAAAAGGTGGAACCAAATAATCAAGACACTTTGTAACTGACAACCTTATCATCATTACATACCGGGAATTATGGTGTATGTGAAACTGATGACTTGACTTGCCAAGGCCAAGTGTTTAGAAGTAATAGACTTCAAACCTGAAACCTGTAAAACTTATCCCAGTTAAGGCACAATGATATTGCATTCATATCAACTAGGGAAAAAATGTTGGGGGTAAATAGTCAGTAAGAAATGCACCCATAAAGTCAAGTAAAAATCAGTAGTGAACTACAATTACAGTTGCCTTCCAATCTTTGTCAATGTTCCAGGAATAAATCTTTTGATGCCCAAACATCTGCCACCATACATTTTCTGCCAATTTATAACCTTTTAAAAATCTTTTATTCCAACAATTCTAGTCCAAAGATGTGGAAATAAGAAACCCAATCCTCTTCAATAATTTTTATCACCTCCTTTCTCACCCCATTCTCCAGGGTAATTGGATGATGGCTAGTAAAAGGAGGGTCAGAATATATCAAGGGCAGGAGCGGCACCACTTTAGCTACGGGTTAGGCATAATCCAATAGCTTTGACTCAACCCCCATATTTGTTTTTTTGAGAAAAAATCAACCCCCATATTTGTGTTAAAAAATTCATTTGATATGTACAAATAATTTTTCCAGAATCCACAAGTTAAAAATTCTGGCACCGCCTCTAATTAAGGGATAAAGACAGTTAAACTTCTATATTGTGTCTAGTTCATGAGATAAAAGTGGGATTGAAATCAAGAACATATTTGGTGGCTTGAGTACCTTTGGCCTACTAGTTTTTTTTTTTTAAAAAAAATTACTGTCCACAAAAAAATCAACAATTAGCTAGAGAATATATAATCAAGAAACCAAAACAGACCTGCATTGCTCCAGCACCAAGGACAAGCTGACAAGTCCTTGTATTGAACAATTTCAGGATTTCGACAACACGGTGAACGACTTCTGAAGATAGGCCCGGCAAGCTATTATTCATCTCAATACACTCTGACAACATCTTTACCAAAATCAAGCCACTGAAACACAACAGGAGAATTGTCATCTTTGAAGGGTGAATTTATCGTACGAAAAAAAGAAAACTGTGAAGGGCGATCCAGCACTCTTGAATCGAAGTCCCAGTAAAAATCCCCAAAAAGGATTAAGAAGGCATGTTATCAGATAAGTTCTCTTTTCTGTTTCACACAGAAAAGAAAATGCAACATGCAGAGACAGACAAGAAAAAGTCACACAAGAAATAGCTCTAAACCAATAGTCTTAACTCTTAAGAACTTAGTGACCAAGACACCAAGGGCAGAGAAGAGAAGACATTGAGAGGGAAAAAAATGAAAAATGAAAAATCTGAGAGTACCAGCTCCACCAAAAAAGAACAGACGATTTCATCAAATCGAAAGGAATTACTAACCAGTTAACCATATGATACCCAACACCTCTGAAGAAAAGAAGTCTAGTAGAAGATTTTCCACGCTCTCTTGTGTTAGTTTCATTGCTCTGAGAAGAATTAGTTTCAAATCAGCATTAGTGCTTTCAGTTTGCCAGCTGCATCATGAAGTACTAACCTGTGCTGTACTCTCTACACGTGGAATAGAATCAGTGTGCTCTGCATTTTGTGATATCTTTTGAAGTCTAGCTTCTGCCGTAGGGGAACCATCACTGCCCAGGACCATCTTAGGGCTGCTTGGTTCAATATCAGCTGAAACCTCATCAGCAAGTTCACGGGTCTCAGATTCTGAGCAAAACAGTGATGTGATAATTGCCTGGAACTCATCAGGGACATCAATCTCAGCCCAATTTTCCTGGTCAAGAATGGCCCTCATCTTTGCCATCTGAATCAACCAACAACAGATTTAGTCTATAAACGCAAGAAGCAATGAGTCAATGACACAGATAAAGCTCAACTGAAGAAACAAACTAACCCTGGATTCGTGTTGGAAATCAATAAAGGCCTTGGCCTGTGACTGCAATGTTCCCCGAATACTATAACTCAATCTTCCACCAATCTGTATATATTGGCAAAACAGGCATCAATACAACTGAAATACATATATAGAACCAGTAAAGTATGTATTTTACAAAACAAAATAAAAATAGAGAATCTCACCTTCTCAGTAGCCGTTATAAATTCTTGAGTGATGTTATATATATTTAGAAACTCCTGTAACCTCAGTCTAGGGTGGATAGGAGAACGCACTCCAAGGATCTTTGCCCATCTGCCATGAGCAGCATCACAAGCTGCAAAAACGGCTTCTGCATTCTCTCTCAATACATCAGCTCTGTCAAAGAAAAAAGTCGTGGGATAAACATTTGGAAATTCTTTACATACAACTTATGCAGATGCTAAAAATAGAAGCCAACAACTGAAACACATGACGGGGCATTTTGCTATTACTGATTAGAATGTGAAACCTTTAGCCACTTTCAGTGAAGTTCTAATATGCCTAGAGTAACCTCTGATCATAGTCCTATCATTTTGGAGTGTGGTGACTGGGAACAACGGCACTCCTATTTTAAATTCGAGAATTGGTGGCTAAAAGTGGAGGGATTTAATGAGATGGTCCAGGAATGGTGGAATGGCTTCATAGTTGAAGGGTGTCCAGACTATAAACTGTGCACCAAATTGATTTTGCTGAAACAAAAATTGAAAGAGTGGAGTAGGAAGACCTTCTCTGAAATGGCTAACAGGAAAAACAGTCTTCTTGAGGAACTGGCTGTTTTGGACAGAACCCAGGAAGACAAAGAACTATCACAAGAAGAAATGATGGTTAGGGCAACAATACTTGTGGAACTTGAAGTACTGGCCAAATATGAAGAAGAATTTGTGGCTTAGGTCGCAGGTTCAAGCCCCACACCATGCAAAGCAAAGCCTGGTATTTAAGTGGAGAAGGGTAGAGGGGCGGGCCCATTATCCACCGAGTTTAGAAGGTTGTGATTGGTCCAAAGGGCGGGTCACAGACGGATTTCTCGGTTATCAAAAAAAAAATGGAGGCAAAAATCTAGAACACTATGGTTGAAACAAGGGGATAAGAACACCAGATTCTTCCAAAGATTGGCAACATCACATAGAAGTTACAACACAATAGATAGATTGGTGATAAGGGGCGAGGAAGTACAAGAACCAGAAGAAATAAAAAAAGCTATGATAGATTTCTACTCCAATTTATACACCGAGCCTGAGCCATGGAGACCTACTTTTGTTCTGACAGGATGACAGGATGTCCTATAGTTTCCATAGAGGAGAATGATTGGCTTCAGAAACCTTTCACAGAATCAGAAGTGATGCAAATTATCAAACAATGTGATGGAGACAAAGCCCTTGGTGATGGTTTCACTATGAGCTTTTTCAAGGTATGTTGGGATACATTGAAGGAAGATCTGATGCAGACTACTCATAATTTTCACCAAAGGGGAATCTTTGAAAAAAAATTCAATGCGACCCTTATAGCATTGATCCCAAAGAAACCTGGAGCTGTGGAACTAAAGGACTTCATACCTATTAGCTTGATTTGGGGGGTTTACAAAATTATCTCTAAACAACTGAAAGACTTAAAATAGTTATTGGGAAACTAGTAGATGGACACCAAATGGCATTCTTGAGAGGGAGACAAATTCTTTATGCATCCCTGTTGGCCAATGAACTGGTTGACTCAAGGGTTAAACAGAGGAAACCAGGGATCATATGCAAATTAGATGTTGAAAAGGCCTATGACCATGTCAATTGGAATTTTCTCCTCAAAATTTTGAAAGACATGGGTTTTGGTAGTAGGTGGATCAAATGGATCAGCTTTTGTATCTCTAGTGTGAAGTTTTCCCTTATAATAAATGGCAACACAGAAGGTTTCTTTCAATCTCACAGGGGTCTTAGGCAAGGGGACCCCATGTCACCTTTCCTATTCTTGCTAGCTATGGAAGGTCTAAATCACATGTTCAGGATTGCAAATGCAAATAGATGGGTGAAAGGTTTTAGTGCTGAGAGGGGAAGATCTGGAAGTATCGCACCTGTTATATGCAGATGATGCCTTAATTTTCTGTGAAGCAGAGTCAAGTCAGATCAGGCATCTTAGAGCCATCCTAACTATTTTTTAAGGAATCTTGGGTCTTCATGTAAACTGGTTGAAAAGCCACATCTTCCCTATCAACCAGGTTGGGAATTTGAAAGAGTTGGTTGCTATTTTGGGTTGTCAAGTGGACTCCTTACCAACTAAATATTTGGGGTTGCCATTAGGGGCTAAAAATAAAGAAATGGAAGTGTGGAGTGGGGTGATGGAAAGATGTGAGAAAAAATTGTCCAGGTGGAAAAGTCAATATCTATCATTAGGGGGCAGATTGACTCTCATCAAATCAGTACTGGATGGCCTCTCAACAATACATGATGGGCCTTTTCCCTATATCAAAGAGCATTGAGCAAAGATTTAACAGGGTGAGGAGGTCCTTTCTATGGCAAGGAAACAAGGAGAAGAGAGGTTACAATCTGGTGAAATGGGATGTTTTGACCCTTAACAGTCAGCAAGGGGGGCTTAGTTTGAAGAACCTCAGAAAACAGAACACTTCTCTTTTGCAAAAATGGCTTTGGAGGTTCTGGCTTCTGCTCAGAAGAGACTGAACAAGCCATCTGGAGAAGATTTATAGCAGGGAAATATGGTTTACTTAATGGACAACTGAGCACCATTGGGTGTAGTGTCTGGAAAACCATAAGAAGACTGTGGCCCCAGTTCAACAATAACATCTCAATAACTGTGGGTAATGGATTAAAAACTGACTTTTGGAATGAGGTGTGGATTGGAGAAGATAGTCTTAGAAATTCTTTTCCACACCTATATACCTCAAGTCTTCAGAGGAATGCCAAGGTAGCCCAAGTTTGGAGCCAACATGGTTGGGATCTCTTATTTAGAAGAGCATTTAATGACTGGGAAATTGGAGAAGTTGCCAATTTATTGGAAGGTCTAAACCCACATCCAGCTCTATCTGTGAGACATGACAAACCTAGATGGAAACTACACAGCAAGGGGTGTTTACAGTGAAATCATGTTATTGCAATCTTAACACACTACAGACAAACCTAGACAGATGGCCTTGGAAGCTAGTTTGGAAGACCAAATGCCCTCCAAAGGTGGCTTGTTTTACTTGGTTGGTATGTAGAAAGGCATGCCTAACTCATGAGGCTTTACAGAAAAGGGCTGGCAGATTTGCTCAAGATGTGTCATGTGTGAGCAGGAAGAAGAAACCAATGATCATCTATTCCTTCACTGTAAGGCAGCTTTGAGCCTATGGAACATGTTTTTTTGTTTGTTAGGAGTTAAGTGGGTGATGCCTAACACGACAATGGAACTCCTAAGCAGTTAGAAAGGTATTGGCAACAGAGGAAGAAAAGAATTCTGGTGGAGAACTATCCCAGCATGCATATGGTGGACTCTTTGGAAAGAAAGGAACTCAAGGTGCTTTGATGGACAAAAATTAACTTACAGAAAATTAGAATGAATTGTATAAGCCTTTTGTTTTTTTGGAGTAAACAAAATCTGATAGGGGAGATAATAGAATTAGTTGATTTTATAGGAAACTTGTAAAGAATACCCTATGTGGGATGTAAGTTTCCAATTCATCATTTTTTGGATGATGAATCTTTTGGTGTGAATACAAGGTTACCCTTTTCTCAAAAGATTCAAATATTATTAACAAAGAGCATTAACTAGCCCGTATACCAAAATGTAGAAAACCTTACAAAAATACATGATTTTCTACGACAGCCACCCATCATCATACAAAAAGCAACTTCATGGGTGCACAAAAAAGAAATAAAGGAAAAGAGGCTATTTCTCAAGTGTGAAATTTTTCTCTATTCCATCAAAAGCTTTCTTGTTCCTCTTTCTCCATATGGTTCACATCAGGGCTAAAGGTGCAACTTCACATGCTCTGCATCTCCTCCTCCATCATCTACGAGCCCAGCTAAACATCGTTTCTTTCATAGTTTTCGACTTTACCCACTCAAAACCAAGCCATCTCATCAGCTCCCTCTCCCCCATAACGAAGATGCTACCTGGCAATGTAAGAGTACGTGATCTATGTCTTCCCCTGATTCTTGTACATGAAGCACCAACTATCAGACGTAGTCTTTCTCTTCCTCAATCTCTCCGCAGTCAAGATCCCCCTCCCCCCTCATGGTTAATCGTGTGAAGAAGCACACTTTTCTCGGTACTCTCGGGATTCACATCAAGGTATGTGGGAAAACAATCTACTCTCTCACCAAAAGCTTCACATAATAGGACTTAACGAAAAAGACTCCATTTCCCCCTGTTCCCCATTTCCAAACATCCTGACAATCCATAGTAATTTTTTGTTGGTGGAGCAAGCCAGCAAAGTTTTCAAATTCTCCAAACTTCCCAGTCTTGTAAGTTTCTGCTAAACCTCAAATCCCAAAACACTTCACCCCCTTGTAAATTCCACAATTGTATAATCGACATCCTATTTTGGCAAGAAATCCTCTACATGTTAGGGGAAGTGAGACTCAAAATAGTGTTTCCACGCCACCAATGACCCCAAAAACTCACCCTACTCCCTTTACCCATTCGAAAAGAAGTACTCTCATTGAACTCTTCCCAGCCCTTTGAAATATTGCTCCATAGCCAACAACCGTAGGGGAGCGTTGAATTTTTAGTCCTCCAACCCCCCCCCCCCCTCCAAAAAGCATTTACCTCTACCCCAAATCTCCATAACTACTTTCCTAAAAGTGCCTAATTAAAGACCCTTAGATCTTTAAATCCAAGGCCACCTCAATATTTTGGTGTGGTAACAGACTTCCAATTCACCAAATGAAACTTCTTTTCCCCTCACGAGTCATTCCATAGAAAATCTCTCTGCCCTTTTTCCAACTTCTCTGTAACACTAGCAGAAGCTTGTGCTTCTTTAAGCCAACCACTTTAAAGAACTCAACCAACACAAAAAAGCTCCCAGTTCAGACAGTCTCTCATCAATCACCTAATTTGCTTTTCAGAATAGTCCTGACGTTTTACCAACATAGGCTTCTAAAATGTAACACTCAGTGAATTCGGGTCAAGTTTGAAATCATTTTATGTTTGTGGTTAGACCTGGACTATTGAATCTGTGAGATTTGGGGTAAATTACCTGTCCTATTTAAAGATAGTCATGTCTAGATTCCAACGTTACCCGTTCGTCAATCTGAGCACCATACAAAAAGTTATGTATGTTATACTAGAGTCGGGCATAGAAATCTAAGTGTTCGGGTGGGAATGGGAGGTGCGACACACTGGCCATCGCACTCAACCTCAAGGCGATGCCCATCGCACCCAAGTTGGCGCCGTGACCAAAGCGGTTGAGGAGGAAAAATTGTTGCAAGTGTTGGACACAAGATTTCTGGTAAATAAAGAGAAATCAAAAAGACAATATAAAAGAAGGGATTAGGAATGTGAATAACCTGAAATTTCTCGATAAAGTCGATGGCGTTATACCATCATTTCCATTCCCGTGAGCAGAAGAGACCTTGGCAGAGTTCCTTTGCACAGAAAGTTGCAGCAAGGAATTTACCTGATCGGCAGTTTCATGAGCTGTTTCTGAAGCCGCTGCTCCAAGTGCAATTGCAGCAGCAACTGAGTCAGCGGCATAATGGCCATCAAGATGGCACAAAATCCACTCAATGGCTCTTTTAACTTCAGATGCCTGTGCTAAGTGTGCCTGCATTCACTAAAAGAAAAATATCAAGTTATATCATACCAAATCAGATGGAACAAAAACAGGAATCGGTAAGACAATTGCACAAAGCACTTTTCCAGACAGCTGCATATGGGTAACCAATTATTCAAGACAAACCAGGAATCCAGATCAAAACTATCTCCATTTGGTTGTGTATGCAACATTTCTCAAGGAAAATATTTACCATGTGAAATTCTATGATCATTTCTCGTGCTTGGGAAAAACTATAATTTTGTGGCTTTGAAGCTAGTGGAAAGTTTTGGATTGTCATTATAGTGTTGGATGAGAACAGCAAGTACTGACACGTAGATATTCATAGAAGGAATCAGACATAAACAAAATGACTGGTGCCATTATGGCACGGACATTTGGCTTCTCATTTTTAGTTTAACACGTTTTATTTTATCTCAACTATTGAAGACCAACTAAACAGCTATAAATAGTGAACTATTAGTGCGCCACCAACAACAACAACATACCCAGTGAAATCCCACTAGGTGGGGTCTGGGGAGGGTAGAGTGTACGCAGACCTTGCCACTACCTCGTAGAGGTAGAGAGGCTGTTTCAGAGAGACCCTCAGCTCAAGTACATCAAATCCAAGTAAATGGCGAGGAAAACAGTGTATAAAACATAACATCCAATAAGAAAGTATATAATCAACAAAGGAGACAGTAACATCCATAAAACAATGCGATAAGTGAAACGCAGTAAACAACAAAAGGCTATAGGTATCACAGCCAGGAACTGCACGTGCAAGGCTAGGACTACTACAAACGCTAACAACCCATACCCTCGCAAGGGAGGACAACACACTAGCCCTACTAACCTTCAACTTTAATACGCGACCTCCACTCCTTCCTATCTAGAGTCATGTCTTCGGTAATGCGAAGCTGAGCCAAGTCCTGTCTAATCACCTCTCCCCAATACTTCTTAGGCCTACCTCTACCCCTCCGCGTACCATCTACAACCAGCTCCTCACACCTCCTCAATGGGGCGTCTGCGCACCGTCTCTTCACATGTCCAAACCATCTCAATCTCGCTTCCCTCAGCTTGTCCACCACAGAGGCCACTCCCACCTTCTCCCGGATAACTTCATTTCTAATCTTATCACTCCTAGTGTGCCCACACATCCATCTCAACATCCTCATCGCCGCAACATGCACTTTCTGGACATGTGAGTTCTTGATTGGCCAACACTCCGCTCCATACAACAAGGCCGGTCTAACTACCACTCTATAAAACTTACCTTTAAGTCTAGGTGGAATTTTCTTATCACACAAGCCTCCATTTCATCCAAGCAACCCCAATGCGATGTGTGACATCATCATCAATATCGCCACTCCCTTGGATTACAGACCCAAGATACTTAAAACTTTCTTTCTTAGGAATGATCTGTGTGGCAAGTCTCACATCCACATCTGCCTCATCCAACGCATCACTGAATTTGCACCCCAAATATTCTGTTTTGGTCCTACTCAACCTGAACCCTTTGGACTCCAGCGTTTGTCTCCACACCTCTAACCTCACATTAACTCTGTCCCGCGTCTCATCAATCAGTACTATGTCATCCGCAAATAACATACACCATGGGACCCTCTCCTGAATAGACCGCGTCAACTCGTCCATCACCAAAGCAAATAGAAAAGGGCTAAGGACTGATCCTTGGTGCAGCCCCATCTCAACTGGGAAATGTTCCGAGTCACCTCCAACCGTTCTAACCCAAGTCTTGGCTCATCCGTACATGTCCTTTATCGCCCTAATATAAATCATCGGGACACCTTTAGCCTCCAAGCACCTCCAGAGGACATTCCTCGGTACTTTGTCATAGGCCTTTTCCAGGTCAATGAACACCATATGTAGGTCTCTATTCCTTTCTCTATATTTTTCTACCAGTCTTCGCATAAGATGAATGGCTTCGGTAGTCGACCGTCCCGGCATGAATCCAAACTGATTCTCAGAAATGGACACCCCTCTTCTCACCCTCATCTCCACCACTCTCTCCCAAATCTTCATAGTATGGCTTAGCAATTTGATACCCCTGTAGTTGTTACAGTTCTGGATATCACCCTTGTTTTTATACAACGGAACCATTGTACTCCACCCCCATTCATCAGGCATCTTTGTTGTCTTAAAAATAACATTAAACAGCCCAGTCAACCACTCTATACCTGCCTTGTCCGTGCTCTTCCAAAAATCCACCGGAATCTCATCGGGTCCGGTCGCTCTTCCCCTACTCATCCTACTAATAGCACGTATAACCTCCTCGATCCTAAAACACCTGCAGTACCCAAAGTCCCGAAGACTTTCAGAGTGCGGCAAATCACCCAACACAATGTCTCCGCCCCTTTTTTCATTTAAAAGTTTGTGAAAGTATCTTCGCCATCTTTGCTTGATGGAGGTCTCATCCACCAATACTTTGCCTTCCTCATCCTTGATACACTTCACCTGGTCCAAGTCGCGAGCCTTCCTCTCTTTTGCTTTTGCGAGCCTATACAATTTCTTCTCCCCACCTTTGTCCCCCAGCTCGACATACAAGCGTTCGAAAGTTGCCGTCTTAGCCTTCGTAACTGCTAACTTAGCTTCTGTCTTTGTCGTCTTATAAACTTTCTTAAGCGACCGCTTCTCTTCCTCGTCTACGCACTCCACCAACTTTGTGTATGCAGCCTTCTTCGCTTCCACTTTGCCTTGGACTTCCCCATTCCACCACCTATCTCCTTTATGGCCTCCAAATTTACCCCTTGCTACCCCCAACACCTTTGAAGCAACTTCTCTAATGCAACTAGCTGCTTTATTCCACATGGTGTCCGCATCCCCACTACCACTCCAAGCCCCCATCCCACTCAACTTCTCACCCATCTCCCGAGAAAGGTCAGGGGTCAAGCCACCCCACTTAATCCTCGGTTGATCAAATACAATCTTCTTCCTCCTATCCCTCTTAATTACCAGGTCCATCACCAAAAGCTTGTGTTGGGTAGTAAGATTTTCACTTGGGATAACCTTGCAGTCCTTAAAGAGGCCTCTATCACCCTTCCTAAGGAGTAAGTAATCTATCTGGGTCTTAGCTACCGAGCTACGAAAGGTAACCATGTGGTTCTCCTTCTTCGGAAAGCATGAGTTAGCAATCACCAACTCAAATGCCTTAGCAAAATCCAGAAGCGAAGTTCCACCCCCATTTCTCTCCCCAAAACCAAAGCCTCCATGAACATCATCAAAGCCATTAGAAGTTGCCCCGATATGGCCATTAAAATATCCACCAATGACAATTTTCTCGGTGATTGGTATACCTCTAACTACCTCATCCAAACCCTCATAAAAGAGCCTTTTGGCCTCCTCGCCCAAGCCCACTTGAGGTGCATAAGCACTAATAACACTCAAAGTACATCCTCCAACGACTAGCTTAATCAACATCAACCTATCATTGATCCTCCTAACCTCCACCACTTGCTCCCTCAAATCCCCGTCTACTAAAATACCCACTCCATTTCTATCCCTAGATCCTCCTGAGTACCACAACTTAAACCCGTCGACATCCCGAGCTTTGTGAGCAAAAAGCAGAGACAATCAACCATCTGTTTTTACACTGTAAAGTGGTTAGCCAACTATGGAACCCGTTTACTAATTTCATAGGCATAAACTGTAGTTGATGTGCTAGATTGTTTATAGGCAGCAGTTTAGAAACTTTAGATTAAGACTGTCTTTCTCTGTAAATTGTTACACTTTTAAAGGGGAGCTACACTTTTGTTGTAGTATACCTGTGGATAATAGACTAAAGCTACCAGTTTCAAAAAAAATAATATGGCACTAAAATATGAAACGAGAAGCCATATACACTACAATGACCTACAGTGACTAGTAATATTTCGTCACTAAGATTATGAACCTTGTTCAATAAGTATGATAATCTCGTGGAATAATTACATGCAGAACCAACAGTAACAACTATTTAATTCATCTGGTAGACAACCCTATACCAGAAATAGTATTGCAGAACTTCAGCTTTTAATGGAAAGGAAAAAGATCTCGGAAAGCAGGTTATCAGCAGTTAGAGTAGCAGCACCCACAGAACGAAAACCTATCTGCCATGCAAATCAATTTATTGAAATTCAATAAAAAAAAAAAGGGGATTCAGGAAGCAACTGGGACCAAGATCTAAGCAATTTATACTCTATCGGAGCTTAAGGCTCATATCGAATGAGTCCCATCAAACAGCGCAGGTACATGATAAGGCTAAATCAGTTGACAAATATTAAGGCTCAACTAATTTGACATTAAAAGAGATATTTGTTTTCTACCAAAAAAAGAACAGAATATTCAATGAAGCAGAGTTGAGGCCTGTCTGGAATTTGAGATGGGAAAAAAAAATTAGATGAAGAATGGTCTGCAAAGATCATTTAATTAGAAAGAGGTTTTATTCATCACAAAAATAGTACATGTAAAAAAACCATTGACCAAAAATGATCACTTAACTTATAGCAAGACCTCACAGTTACCTACCTTTGAACATTTCTTCAAAGAGGAGAAGTATGAAAAGATCTTAAATGCCGCAACTTTGGCTCCATAGAAAAGGGGGTATGGGACTAAGAGATTTTAAACATCAACCTCTTTTTGGTTTGGGTAGGGGACCAAGAAAAGGTGTGTTTTATAAACTCTTTAAGACTTATCCAAAAAGGAGTAAATTTATTTTCAAATGAGCCTGAAGATATTTGGCTCAAACATTAAAAGCTCGTGAGCTTGGATCTCTTAATATATATTAACCTACGCCATATTGTCCTGTTGGGTGCTTAAGTTATCTAAACGAAGAGCATCTTAAGTGGTAGCGCAGACTCAAATGATTAGGTTTAATTGGGTTCTTGAATATGAACAATGAATCTGAAAGTGCATGAGCTTGGCCAGCTTATTTGATCATAACTTACTCCTTGCATACTGTGTGGCATCAATCAACCAATCAAATAGGCCTCAATCCCCTACAAGTTGAATCAACCATATGAATCCTCTATATCCTTTCCGCTCTATTCATGTCCATTTTATCCAATTTAATTAGGCATATTAGAGGTCATTCAAAAAGAAATCCCCTAGATCTTCCACTAATCCCTACATCGATATACAAATCCTTTTTTTAATTCTTCAAAGGAAAAAAGGGAAGTAACATATCATTATTGCAGCATAATCCCGATTGAACAAAAAGATACAGTGAGGTACACATTACCTGCACTATCAGGAAAACAGCCTTCAAAAGATGAACAAAACATTCAGGCGACAAGCTTCTCAATCTACTGGCAAGGGATGAGCTTCCACCTGAGTAAGCATATACATGATATCAGGAACTATAGCATGAAATCTACCAGCACACTCCTTTGCATGAATGATGAAGTTGCATCACTAATCCTTAGCCACATCTTTTACAGCACTCCATTTTCAAATTACAAGAAAAGGAAGAAGAAGAGAACCAATCTTTTGCACACCAAATTCATTTGCATCTGAAGCTCTTTCTTATAAAAATGAGATGTGAACCTAATAATATACACTCACCATCAGCATCAACTGCTCGTTCTCCTGCAACAAAATCTGAATCCATAGGTTGGGCACCAAGCACCCGTAGCAGTTCTTCAACTGCCATCTTAATGGCAGTTTTCATATCAGCCGTAAGAGTGTCACGGTATATTCTCAATACAGCAGGGAGTTTTGCCTGGATATTACAACAGTCAAACATAACCAAATATTTTTACCAAAAACATCATATAAATTCCAAACACTCTAAAAATGCTGACAGAAAACATATACGTAGACTTTACAACTACAAAACAACCCAGAATAAAATTTGTTTCATTTGGCATAAATTGCAGACGGATTGGAACCGATGCTTAGTCAAGTTGATAAGTTGATGACCAATAATTAGTCAATCACAAGGACACAGAAAATGGTACATAAGAGGGGTAAAGGGATTGTAGTCCTCTCTATTCACTAATCACTATTTCCTAGAATCTTCAGCTATGCTCCTCCTCCATTATTCTCTTCTAAACTGAAGTACATAAATAATAAACTAAGACAATCTTCACCAACACTTGTTACTTCCAGATAATACATATACTCCATTTAGTGTCGTATCACTGTTGCAAGTGATTAAACCATAGCCAGCCCATTACATCAGATCTTATACACACAAAAGTGAAGAATTTGGAATAAAATCAATGTCAAGAGGGAAAAAAAATTGAGAATATGATAAAATCAATGCCAAGCCAAATTTTCTCAACAAGATACTGCTCTATTTGGATAATGACACCTCTAACCTCGATTCAGCTCTGAAAATTATTCATTTCTTTATTTACACTTAAGGAGTATAATCCCATCCAAAGCTACACATATTTTGGCTCGAATAGTACCATTCACCTAACACTGAGAAAGAGTGATTCTGCATCTTTTCGAGGGTGTTTTGTTTTCTATACTTGACAGATAGCATGATTGTGATCATGTCATGGCATTCAACAATCACCATTTACCACCCAAAGAAAATCAATACGCCACCAACACTTTACAAAACAAGTTAATACCAATATTACTCAGTGAAAAAATAGAGATACTCACGGTTCTAAGCAACCCAATAACAAAAGGAAGTAGCCGGTCTCGCAAATTATAAGTGTCTTCTTCATCTAATTTAACCTGCAATACATAACGTCAACGTTCAGATGACTGGTCGTCAAGTAGCATGATGACTGGGTTCATAGATCCAGTTAAACTAAAGGATGATTAACAAGGAACAAGAAAGAAATTCCCTCAACAATTAGAACATTGAGCAACAGAAAAAACATAAATTACATTTAGAATCAAGCATGGAACGTATTAAATATATACTCCAAGGTCAACCAGAAAAAGATACAACTTGAAAGAGTCAGACACTTAAAATATCGTCTGTTATCTTCCTAGCCCCTCAAAACCTAGTTTCATGAACCAAATAGGACAGATACCACTAAGGCGCTAACAGGAGAACTTCCACACCAGATAAGTGCCACAACAGATCTATGCAAAGAAGATAGCACAGATTAATTTGTTACTTTAACATTTTTCATTAGACAATATGGTGGTAGAACTCAGAGCATTACTTAAGTGCATTAAAACACAAGCCTTTGATGGTAAGCAGGTTATCATGCATCAAAGCTGCTTTCTTAATTTTAGCTTTAGAGACATCATCCTTAGTTACTGATGACCTATCCACCTTCCTCCAAGTATATGGAAATGGGCTACTTAAAAGTAGTACAAGCCTCTTATCCCCTTCCTTCCTACTTCATAGCTCTCTTTTTTTCTTTTGTTTCAGGAGGGGAACTGAGGTTGAAAATAAGCATTAGTTTGAAGGATCCCGAAGATGAAGGAAACTAAACTCATCCAAAAGAAAGGAAATTTGCAGTAAAAGAGAATGCCTGAAGTTGGGTGCAACGTGGCAATAGTTAATGATACAGAAGCCGTGATTGAATTCTTGAGTTCATTACACAACTTGCAATGAGGCTTTCATCTATAAATAATTGCCAGCAGTTTTGCTGCTCTTTAGCACAATACCCTTTACCCATCCAAAAAAAGAGAATGACTGGAGTTGGGGTTGGCAAAGACAAATAGGGAACTATTACATTTGCAAATAATTATTTTGTAGTGTTGTAAGGTTATAATAGGTTTTCGCTTCTTACAGTGGACAAGGGCTTATAGAAGACATCTTGAAATATAGTTTAGGCAAGAACAGTAGCGTTTAGGCAAGAACAGTAGCGTGCAGGATAATTTAAACAAAACCACCAGCTATCTAAACGAAACAACGCCTACATCCCTTGACATTCTTTGTTTCATTTTTTTTTTCTGACAATCACATGCATCCCTTCACATTTCAAGAGCTTGCAAAGGTGCTTGCTACTTGGTAAATTAAAGCAGACATTTTCATTAAAAACGCCCTACTGCTAATAGAAAGAGAGTACAAGTACCAAGTACCCAGAAAAAAATTTCTTAAATGTTAAACTCAATATTGTGTTCAAATCATCTTTTCAACTGGTGATATACAGAGAGTAAAGCTGTTTTTCATCTAAACTGTCTAGTAACACTGTTTTCTCCAAAAGTGTAGCATTTTTTTCAATTTGATTTGTGCACTGAAAATATCTAAACCAAGTACATCAGTATACAAGTACATAAAAACATGCTTACTTCATGGCCTTCTCCATTCATGGAAATTGTCGTCTGCACTTTAAATTTTGATGTACTTAGAGCATCCACATTGCCAGCTCCGTGTATAGATATACGCATAAATTCGGCTGAAAGAATGCTACAAGACTGGATCCGGTAAGTTACAACATTGTACTAAAGATTACTTTGAAAATAGTGTGGTGTTATAGATTCTAAGTTCAAAAGATGTATTAAAGGAAATATAAAATAGTGGAGCACAGTAGAATGGTAACGTTTTGCTGCCAAAATGTGGAAATACAACTCGTAATCAATACACTGGAAGGAACTAGCAACAAACTAGTGCACTGGATGGTCATGCCCTAAGCATTGGTATTTTAGCTAATTAGATAAATCTAACATGTTAGTTGTTAGAAATTTTATCTAACTAACCCAAGAATGAAAACAGAAACATAAAATGAATTACTTCTTTATTTTGTATCAGAAAACGGTTTGTAACCCCCTATAAAACTTACAACATAATCATCCAAGAAACCCAAACAATATCTATGCAAACTGGACAATTTGGTTAATCCTTTGAGCGAAGAAAACAAAAAAAACAACTACTTTGGTCACTACATAATACACATGAGATAATAGTTTGTTATGGATGTTATCATTAATCAAACAGAATCAGAAACGGGTATTACTATCACAACTGCCTCAATAAAGATATTAGCAGACATTAGCCACCAAATTTTGCTACAGCAAATTGAAACAGTGTTTAAGCTTTATTCATTTAGCATTATCAAGAACTCAAACACCTTAAAAGGTATCTTCCAATAATGTGAGTGAACCTACACAAAAATCCAATCCGAATAGTCTAACCTGTTAATGGAATCAATTGAAGCGGCTAACTGGTCACGAACATGGCGGAAACAATGTAGACCAGCTAATTCATCTCCATCCTGCTAAACATAAATGAACATTGACACTGCAGTAAGTACAAAGGTTATAACAACTTCATCTTCTATAATAGCTTTTGCAACAGACAATCCACATAGTTGTGCCAAATATTTTGCATTGAAGCAAATAACAAAGCGTGAAGCCTATTAACCAAATAAATCTATCTATCCACAAGAAAAAATATTAACCAACTGGATCACAAAATAGTTCGCTATATTCCAACTTCAAGTTACAGAAAGGCATAGCAACCAATTTGGCCTCAATGAACACAGAGGTTGATCAAGGTAAAAACTAGTTAGGTAGTGTTCAACACCTAGAAGAAACTAAGAATTAAAAATGAGCAGAGAAACAAAAAGACTTCTGTACATACCAATAAATGTTGTAAATCATCTATAACATCTAAAGCTCCGGCACAATCTGCAGATGCAACAAGCTGCATAAAATATGTGAATATGTGTCAGATTATAACCATTCAATAGACCCGTATCTTTTAAATAAGAGATATTATTTTAATATAATAAAAACAAACACCAGAAGGTCTGGAAAATCAGTAACTTGTCAATATGGAGAATAAAACTGAAACATCAAATTTTTTGAGACAAAAAATGAGGAGGTGGGAACTTACAACCCACAGGGAGCAGAGAGCATCATCAATAACATCTACAAACTTGACATTTTTCCTGTATAGTCGACTAAAACTTCTACTTCCCCACCATATCTTGTTTACACTAATAATAAGAAAGGCTGAGGCAATTCATCTTAACTTTCTGGATGTTGCTGCTTTTACCTTCAAAACATTTTGCATTTCTTTCCTTCCATATTGACCACCATGTGCATTTTAGAATTTCAAAGGTATTCTTGGGCATTACCCAACTCACACCTAGTATACACAAGAACATATTCCACAAATTTACAATTGTTTTGCAGTGCAATAACAAATGGCCATTGATCTCTGCTTATTGGCCACATAGAGAACACCTTGAGCAAAAGGTGTAAACCTCTTCTTTGTAACACTTCATGAGTTAAACGGGCACTTCTAATCATCAACCATGTAAAACAAGAGACTTGTTGGCATTGAGGAAGTAGAATGGCCTTGGAAGATGATATGGAAAACCAAGATACCCTATAAAGTAAATTGTTTTACTTGGCTGTTAGCTAAGGAGACAGTTTTGACACATGAGAACCTGAACAAAAGAGGCATTCACCTGTGTTCCAGGTGCTTTTTGTGTGAAGAGCAAGGAGAGACAGTCAACCATCTCTTCTTACACTGCAAGTGGACAACCCAGCTGTGGCAAATGTTCACCAATATGAGAGAGATTAAATGGGTGAAACCAGGAAGGATCAACAAGGTTTTGAAGTGCTGGAATAGAGATGGAAATGCAGGAAGAAAGGAGGAGAGATGGAAGATGGTCCCATCATGTATATGGTGGACAGTATGGCTAGAGAGGAACCAGAGATGTCATGAAGGAAAGCAGAGCAACATACAAAGATTTAAGCTTAACTGTTTAGCTCTGTATTATTTTTGGTGTAAACAAGTAGTCTTAGATAGCTCAGAAGTAATCAGCACAACTATAGACTGGCTGTAACTTGGTAGGTATAGGAGCCTATGTAACTACAACACTTTTGGAGGGGAACTACACTTTTGAGGTAGTATACCTGTGGATAAATATAGACTAACTGTTACTTTTATCAAAAAAAAAAAAAAGACTTTACTATGAAGACTCCCTTGCAATGCAGATTCCAAATTGGTTTGTCTGGACCAATGGAAGTGCCTGAGAAAGTGTTCAGTACCGGAGCATACTTGCTACTCCATCAACTTCCCAATTATTTAGAGCCCTTTGGAAGATTAGGCCCCATCCTTGAGGGCTTCACATCTGAGAGACAGTGGCATCTTTTGTAGGGTTATGATGTGTAGGTCTTCTGAGAAAAAAGCTTTTAGATTGCCTTCTCCTATCCAGTGTTCATTCCAAAAATCTGTTTTCATACCATCTCCCACTTTGATGGACATGTTGGTATTGAAGTTGGGCCACATCCTTCTGATGGTTTTCAACACACTACAACCAAAAGTTCCCAAAACTTCCTCAGTGGTCCAAAGATTCAATAGTCCATATTTATGTGTAATGAATTTTCTTAAAGCCATATATTAATTGCAAAATCTCCAGAACCACTTCTTAAATAGACTAGCACTGTGTAGACCAAGGTTCTTTATGCCCAAACCTCCTTGATTTTTTCTAAGTGTTAAGACATCCCACTTCACCAGATTGTATCCTCTCTTCTCCTTGCCAGATGAAACCCTCCAGTCCTCAGTTTATTGATCTTCCATTCAATGCTCTTGGGTATAGGGAACAAGCTGATTATATATGTGGGGAGGGCATCCATCACTAATTTACAAGTGTTTACCTCCCAGAGATAGGTATTGACTCTTCCATTTCACTAGCTTCTTATCACATCTCTCCAGCACTTCACTCCAAATTTCTAGCTAATTGTTTTTTGCTCCCAATGGTATTCCAAGGTATTTTATAGGTAAGGAAGCTACTTGGCAGCCTAGGTTCTCAGCTAAGATCTGCATATCATCAACTTGATTGACTGGCAAGAGGAAACTCTGTGTCAGTTAACATGTAACCCAGAGATGCCTTCAAATATGGTTAGGATTGTCCTTAAATGTCAGATTTGTACCACTTCTGCGTCATAAAAACTAGAGAATCATCTGCATAGAAGAGGTGTGTAAATTCCATATCATTGCCCTGAATCCTGATTGTCTGGGCAGAGCAACCTTTCATCCACTCATATGCATTTGCTTTCCAGATCATGTAATTAAGGCCCTCCATGGCTAATATAAATGGAAAGGGTGACATAGGCTCACCCTATCTCGGTATGTCCATTTATGATTATAGGGAGAATTTCACACTGGATATGCAGAAGTTTATCCAGGTAGATCCATTTGCTGCCAAAACCCATGTCTCTTAGTATTTCAAGTAAGAAGGCCCAGTTGACATGGCCATAGGCCTTCTCAATGTCAAGTTTAATTCTTGGTGTTTTTTGCTTCACCTTAGACTTAGTGTCCCACCAATTCATTAGCCAATAAAGCTGCATCCCTGATTTGCCTGCATAGTCATTTGGTGGCATTGGTGCTCATCCACCAGTTTTCCCATAACAGTCTTTAGCCTTTCATTGATAAGTTTGGAGATGATTTTGTACACTCCTCCTATCAAACTTATTGGTCTGAAGTCTTTTAACTCCTTTGCTCCATACTTCTTTGGGATTAATGTAATAAAAGTATCATTTAAGGACTTCTCAAAAAATTCATTATGATGAGCACCTATAACTTTTCACAAACCAAAGAATACATTTTTAAGATCCTTTTACTTTATGTGTGCTCTTCCATCTATGAATTGCCTTTGCTCTCTAACCTTCTAATTGTTATGGACTGATCAAACATTTCTTTATAATCATAGAAGGGATGACCACCCATTTGATGCTTAATCAGTGTAACATTCTACCTCACTACTCAAATGAATTGTACTGAATGAGTTACGAAATAGGGCAGTATTCCTTTTGGTCTTAAAATAAGAGAGCAAAGGTTCTGTATAGTATATGCAATTTCCTTTAGAGAATTATATAGTATTATATGCCAATTGTGGACAGGATATCAAAATGAACTAAATGTGTCTGCCTAAATACTCTAATAGGCCATGGGTCAAAGTTATGAGATTGTATGTAAAAACGGATCTTTTGGATCTGCTCTCTTCCACATAAAACTTGATACACTTTCTCGAACCAAGGATGTCTAATTCAAATCTAGACTGAAGTATCACCATCATAAGAATTCAAGTTGCCACAAGAATAGTTAACTTTTCTACCAGGTGGTTACAGAAAAAATAAGACCTAATATCTTGCTTGCTGTAATTCCACTTCATCATCTCGGCTATATTTATAAAAACTGTGAATCCTATAATAGATTTACTTCCTTTCATGGATCCCAGTGTTTTTAACAACAAAGAAAAATAACAATTCTCTTCAATACCTATTTCTATCAGCCTTGTACAAGCAGCTACTTTTTTTTTTTTGAAAAAGGTAACTTGTATTATGAACAAAAGGAATACTCAGAAGTAGTCCACTAATACTTACAGCAAAATTACAGAGGGAGAGGTGACCCTACTAATGCTTCATAAATAGTCTAAAATGACGAGCAGCTGCTTTTATGACAAAGCATGAGTTGCAACAACTTCACTCTATATCAGCAGATAAAGGGTCTATTTGCATTCCTTAATTCATAGAAATCCCAACAATTGTTCCCAAGTTCTTATATCATTTTGTTCACAGAACTTAGACAAGAAACCAACATAAGATATACATAACGAAAAAATATTAAAGAAATCAGTACATACCAACTTGAGAGTTGAAAGAGCTTGATTAACATAAAGTATAAGGTTCAACTTGTCCTGGTGCGAAATCAATTCACTCCTCTGAACATTCAACTCTTGTACCTTTCTAGCAGACCCCACCAAATTGTCATCCAAGAGCTTTATAGTCTCCTTTAATTCCCTTATCCTATCACACCCCACAACAATCTTCGAATTTAAATCCTCTAACTGACCTTGTGCCTCAAAAAAGGAATTTGATCTCAAGGAAATCTCCCTAACCAAGTGCAATTCCACTACATCCAAATACTGTGATAGCTTCTCCTGTGTAACCAAATTTTCCGCAGTGGTCCTAAATGGGCAGGCAGCTTTAAAAGTAGCACCATCCTCTAACTCAAAATCCTCTTTGAAGTATAGCGCAGGGACTTCCTTCAAGCAAGCAACGAGGGCATTTTGGTCGTCTTGATCTTCCAGTGACTCAAACCTCGCGTGCTGTTGAATGTCGTGGAAACGAGCATATGGGTCGGAGATGGAAGAGAGATAGGATTGGAAATCAGGGACCCGGGTTTCGGATCCGGGTTTGGGTAGAGTTGATAGAGGTAGGAAGTCAGGTGTCGGGATAGATGATGAAGTGGACCACCACCAGAACCCATCGGATTTTCCCGCATGTGGGTTGTTGAGAATGGAGGCTAAGCTTTGGCTATGGGGGCTGCTGCTACTGGCATCGGAAATTGATTTGGTCAAGAATGGAGTATTGTTGATAGTAGAAGGACTACTTTCGAACCTTCCCGAAGAACGGGAAGGCTGAGAATCCATTTTTGTTACTCTCAAGAAGATCTCAGGACCATATATGTATGTAATTATAGTGTAAAAGTGTATGTGATCTCAAATGAAACTCAATTAGATAGAGAAAAAAAGGGATTCTTGGGTGTTTGAGTAGAAACTTCGAGACAAGATGGATCTGCGCTCTCTGCAATGGAGAGAGGAGTTAACGGAGGAAAGTGCCACCAAAAGGCAACAGCAAGGAGGGAACGGGTTGGGGGGAGAAGTGAGAATTACGAGAAGTTAGGGGGGCAAAAGGAGGCCAGAAAATGATAATGGTCCATAGGGGCCGTTTTGTTCACGGATAAAGTTATTTCGAGATTAATAAATTAGATAGAATAATATGTGATATTTAGGATTAAGATTGTGATTAAATTTATATTTTGTTTATTTACATAAATTTAGCGAGTGTTTAGCCATGCATATATTGGAGTTGTTTTTTACTACTTGTTGTTTTTTAAGTAATTTTAAATGAAAAAAGGTAAAAACACTTTTTTGTTGCTTTTCAAAATTTTGAAAACTTTAGAATTTAACTTTAAGATGAATTTCAAAATTTTATGGTCAAACATATTTTTCAGAGTTCAACTTCAGAAAAAACTAAAAAAAAAATCATGGTCATGTCTAATTTTAATCTCAAATATAATTTTAAATATCTCACTTTATTTCGCATGTTGACCAAACGACCCCTTAATCTTCTTCGTTTTAAACATAAATATAGTGAGATTTATCATACTGTAGCATCATTTTTTATTTATCATAATGTAGCATCATTTTCCTTTTAAAAATAGCAAAATATACTCAGTGCACGCATATAAAATCTCATTAATTGAAATCGTGTGATAGTTGAGTATTTGATTGTAAGTGTATGTATGACTAATTGCATATGTATATACTAGATGGTAAGGACCCGTGCTCATCACGGGACCGACATACTAACTTTCAATGAATCAATGTAATATATTTTTATAGTCGTTTTCATTATATTACGCATAACAACATATATAAAAGGTATTCTCTGAGAATCATGTGTCCGCTGTTCAATGTAATATATCTTTATCTGTGATATGAATCATTATCATTATATTATGCATTGTAATATAAAAGATATTTCTTTGTAGTTGTAATTAACTAAGGAGGAGTTTAGAATTAATATATCTTTTGACGATGAAAGTGCATATATAATTTGCAAAATTGAGACGATGGAAGTGCAAATTTAATTTGCAAAGACGATTTCAAATAACAAAAGGACTTAATTAGTTCCATCATCATATATGTTGGAGTTAAGATAACAAGAGTTTCAAGTCCTCATTGTTATCAGCTTTTCATCATCCTACTAACTGAAATGATATCAATTCCAATATAATTTGTCAAGTATGAAGTACAATAAGTTTCAAAGAAGATCGTCTGTTTGTTTAGAAAAAAGTTTGTCTCAACATATATTCTGATTGAAACAATTGCATATCATATTTTTTACTATTTCTCACATTTACAAAACAATTTCATTCATAACATAGTAATGCTATAGTAATGCTTGATGGCAAATTTAGTTGAATATCACCTCATTATCATTACCAACAGTTTCTAATAGTTCTTTTGTTGAAAGGACATTAACTAACTCTCAAATTTTCAGATAAATGGAAAACTATGGACTGCAACTTTCCTACAATGACACTTTCTTTGATCTACATTCTATGATTAAAAAAAAATTGCACTATTTCATTTTCGAAAACTTTTTAGGTTAAGGTATTTAATCATACACATCACAAGCACCACATATTTTTCCTATGCGGAGTTACTAGTGGATCAAATTCGTCAACTATTAAAGCTAAGATTGTGAAGTGTATATATATTTGATGAAAGTTGACAATAAGTACAAAAGACCTCATACCTTAAGGGCTCGTTTGGTGTGAGAGATAAACATAAATAGTTCTAGAATAAAATTTAGATATCTTGTTTGGTTGACATGGTTGGGATAACTTATCTCACTATTTATAGCATAGTGATGGAATAAGTTATCTCATATACATGGTGGAATAAGTTATCCCAAGATAGTTAATCCTGAGATAACTAGTTCTCAACCAAATGACCCCTAAAACTGCAAGTTAAGCACACAATCTAATATTCCCTCGGTTCCTATAAACATATCGTCCTTACTAAAAATAGATGTTCCTTAATACTTATCATTTCACAAAATCAATGCATAAATGACACTATTCTTCCTAATTTACCCTTATGAGTTATTAGCCTTGAAAGTATGAATTTGTCTGACATAGAAAAACTAAGTAATTTTTTCATGTTCATTGGTCCAATAAATTAATTCATATTCATTTAATTAAAATTTGATTCCAAGAGAACATTAAATAATGATACAATGGGTGAGTTTATGTAATTTGTTAAGAGGTGTAAAGCCTAAAATGAAGACAACTAAATAGGAACGGGGGAGTATTATGAGCATGGGCCAACACTGGTCAAAAACCTCACCCCACTCATTATAAGCTTTTCATTATGGAGTGAAACTCACCAATCTAAAACAAATAATTCATATTTCGCAATCTTAAAAACAAACACAAACGAGGCATTGTGTAAACTCGATTTAATATAACTAATATTTGTGTGCAGTCATTTAGAGTATTACATATGGTAGACCCTCTCCATAAATCTAGAATCTTCCCATGACTAGAACATGTATGCTTTCATATGGACAATTTTATGCCTAAGTACTATGACAAAGTGACAGTTCATGACACTCTCCCCACCCGATGTTGCGACGAGCGCGGCACATTGATGTTGCATGAACTCTTGCATTTTGTCTTTAAATTGCCACAAGTCTTCGTATTGTTCACTATCCTTTCCAATAGATGAGAAACATGGTGGTGGTTTGTTGCCCTTGTGCAACTCTGCAAACATCATATCTTTGTTCTCTTCTAGAACTTTTGCTATACATGATGGCAAAGTCCTTTTAGTACTATTATCTTTAATCACATGCATTGTCAATAGTGACTATGAACGTCGGCTCCCCCTTCTTAAGGCCTCTCACAAGTTGCATGGTCAATAGTTGAGTTTGTCCTTTTGTCTTTGGTACCTTAGCCAGAGGCACTATAAATAATCCTTTTTTGTTTCATAACCAAGAGTCATTACAGGTAGGGATCGATCATCGTGTGACATGTTTGAAAGAACTCTTATGCGAGAATTATGTCAAAGATGTCTAAAAGAGCAACAATAAAGTTGATTTTACCTTTCCACTTGCCTAGTACGATACTTACTATATGGGTGACTCCACACACGGGAGTCGGTGGTGCATTGACCGTCTTAAGGCAGGCGTTACTTGGATTGTAACTCAGCACCAATTTCGTTGTTGTTGTCTTGATCGTGATGTTGGCTTCTACACCGGAGTCTACCATAGCACTAACTAATATTTTATTGATGGAGATGTCAACATAATGCGTGTTATCTTCTTTTTGCTTCCACAACTTCTTGGCAATAGCTCTGCATAGTCCAACCATGCCTAACTATGTTGTACTCAAATCTTGTCCTTGTCCTTAATCTTGTTCCGTCTATGAAAGCCGAACGAAACAAAGTGAAAGAAAATCGCATATATAATATCTTGACCAAGATACTTGTACGCATGAGTGAAGAGCTGAAAATAAGATATCATTATTGGTGTGATCTAATCAATGAACCATACTTTATACATTCTCAGTCGAGCAGAACGAAATTACTCTGATGGTTCACCTTTAAGTCGAAAAACAAAAGTAGCAAACCTATCTTCTATAAGATAAGTTCCATCAATTTTGGGCTAGTAGTCCATAGTTCTTCGCCAAAAATTTTATTGCCCAAACTTGAGCTATTAGCTATCCATAGTAATTGTTGAGTTTATTGTCCGCCAAAAGCATCAACCCTAATGTTGTGGAATCCTTCCCTTAATACACATAAGTTCATTTCCATTTTATGTTTCCCATGAACTAACCCCAACCTCAACTCCATTATGAGTTCGTTGGGTTTAACCTATAATTAAAAGGAATTTATAGTGATAAATATCAATTTTACAGAGGATTATAAAGAAATTTACTATCTATTTTTAAAAAATCAAGAAACTTTTGATGCCAAATGGGTCCATCTGCAGTCTTTCATGAACTTACTTGTCAAAAAGAGTTGCAAATGTGACCTAATATTCAGAAATGAATCTTATTAGCACGCACAGGAATACAAGGGCCCAACAAAGTGAACCATGAAATTCTAGTTAATCTTGGTGATACGCTTGGTATTCTAAGTTGCGGTTGGATTTAAATTCGATTTACTGAATCGAAAGATAGATTGTTAAAGAGTGTAAAAGGCTATAGACTATTATGCCCTATCATCAAATCGACAGATTGATTAGATTTTCTTATAAAAGATACATGGGTAGTGGTTATTCAAGTATCGGGACATTGTAGCTGAGTATCCAAACTAAGGTTTGAGTTAAATTCATTATTTTTCCTTTTTCAATTTATGTAGCACACTTAAAGTTTCAAGATTCAATTTTTTAAACTTAGACTGTGAATGCAAAAATAATAGCTTTTGAAACAAAATTTATATATTTAAAAATTATATAAAAATAATATAACGCACAATAATTATCAATGTCATATAAATTGAAATGGAGAAAATAAATATAAAATAAATAATATGTAATGCCTCCTAAATAAGAAAGTTGAACTGCCAACCTCAACATTTCTTTTGAACGCCCTTTCCACTGCGCCAAAACATCTATTAATATTAAAAAGTTGTGCAAAATGAATTATATATTTGTATTTAATAAATTTTGACTTACGTACACAGTGTGATTTTCCGACAAAGGTTGTTCACGTGCACATCCTTATCAGGCTGTAGCTCCACCCCTACAGGTGGGGAGAGTGTCATGACCCGTTACTTTGCCATACTCCCCTCTGTCCCTAATTACGTGTCCACTTATGTGGCTTACTTATTAAGAAAACAATAATTGATATAGTGAGTTTACCATTTTACCCCTATTAATTATGAAGTGGAGGAACTAAAAACTTTAGATTTTCAAGAAGTTCTACATTTTTCAAAGTAATAAATTGAGGGTATAATAGAGAGAGAGAAATTGTCCTTTCGTCAAAATGAACAAGTAATTAGAGACAACTAAAAAAAGAAAACTGGACAAGTAATTAGGAACAGAGGGAGTACCAATTAGGCATAAAATTGTCCATGTGAAAGCATAAGTGTGCTAGTCTTAGTGGGAACATTTTAGATTTATGGAGAAGTTTTGAGAAGACTCTAAAATATCCTAGAAGAGTTCTTGGAACACCTTAAAATACTTTAGTCGTGTTGAGAATTCTAGAAGAATAGTCTATTTGTAAATATGTAGAGACTTGTGTAATAATTTGTATTTACATATTAGCCCTAAATGTGTAGTATATATAGATGGACATTCATTTGTAATGCAACCAAGCAAAATCAAACAATCTTCAAAGCAATATAAAAAGTTTTCTTAGAAATTCTACCACCCATCTTTGGATTCGGTAAACCCCATTTAAATCCTAACCACAACTAACTTAACCAAAAAATCATGGCTCACATTGTTGGACCCTTGTACTGTGCGGACTCGTAAGTATTCCTCTGATAAATCAAGTACTTCTTCATAAATGGGATGAAATGGGTGGGTTTACGACAACCAAAAGGGAGAATCAACATGCGTTTATTAGATGGATTCCACAAAATTAGGGTTATTTCTGCTTTATGGTACAAAATACACTAAAAGTATGATGATAGCTAATACTTCAACTTTCGTCTTGGGCAACGAAAATTCAGGCGGAAAGTTTAAGGAGTAATGGCCCAAATTTTCAGGCGGAAAGTTAGGAAGTAATGGCCCAAATTTGGGAGATGTTACTTTGAGAACATAGATTTTTCAGTTTTGTTTTTCGTCTGAACCACCCAATTTATGTTCTTTTCCGCCGATAATCCCTAAAATATGGTTCACTCATTATATAATTTCAATAACAAATATTTTAAATTGTTAACAAATTCAAAATTACTCACTTGTTATATAATTTGTTACTTAGCTTGTTATATGATTTGTTAAATTTGCATTATCAAATACCAAATGCATTCAAAAATTCAGTGTAAATGTGTCGGCCACTTCTACGACTTGATTTGTTTTTGTTAAAGCAAGTGTTGTTGCCGCCTCAAGCTCACTTTCAATAGAATTTTGTGCCATAAATGACGAGGAATATTGAATAAAGCCATTTAAGTATGTGAATAGCATCACACCAAATTTAGTCTGACACTATTCATCAACACCAAATCACTTTTGTTGCTTTTACCTTCAAAACATCTTGCATTTCGGATCATCCATATAATATACAAAAAGAAACAAGGTAATCACATGAATAAACGTTAATTGGTAAGTTGGTAAAAATAGGAAGAACATAATATCATAAATTAAACTGCATTGATAAATGAAAGAAAGTTTCATACAACAAGCGTATATAACTTAATTCATTTGTTAAGTAATGATGTATAGCTCCAATTTGAACTCTTTCCCTATCAATATTGACATCCCTGAGATTTCCATAGTAACAAACTGTCCACTCTGCTTAAGACTTTCCTTCATTGTTGTGTTCCCTTGCTGGTGTGATCCAACAAGCTCATAGCTCTTCAATCCTCTCACATTTTCCAATCCCAATAATGTCACCTTTTCAAGGACCAATCCTTGATCCAGCGCATATCGTCCATTCACAACCTCTGATTTAACCACAATTTTGTTGCCAATGATATTGCTGTTAAACTTAACTAACGTCCACCTCCCTCCCTCTCTTCCCATCTGCACCTCATCGTCATCGTCCACAAATAGTTCTCCTGTACTGTTTTCGCTGCTGCTCAGCACGACAAGGAGTTTGAATGCAGTCCTCTGAGCAGCTTGTGTTGTCATTGCTTCCCCTTGCATGACCAATATGTTCCCTTCACGAACATGTACATTTATATGATCTGGTGGTGCGTCAAGTGTCATATACGTTCCTTGATTCAAACTCAAGGAGCGAGAGTAATTGAAGAGGTCAAACCAGTTTCCAGCAGGGAAATATGCATCAACAGAGGTTGCTCCTTGCTTAAGTACAGGTGAGATCATGACACCTTTACCGAGAAGGAACTGTGTGCTGATATCAAATGTCTTGGCATCTTGAGGGAAAGAGAAGAAGAGGGGTCGTGCAATTGGAGTCCCTTTTGTATGTGCCTTGTTCATAAGCATATAAAAGTATGGAAGTAACTGATATCGGAGCCCAAGGACTTTCTTGGCTGCTGCAGCAACTGAATCCCAACTATAGAGCTCTTGGGGGGTTGTGTCCTTAGCAGAGTGGTCTCTTGCAAATGGATAGAATGCTCCAAGCTGCATAAAGCCAATCTCTCACATTACTAAGAAGTCAAGGCGAAGAGAGCTCCTAATATTATGATAAAATTCTGCTTCTACAGCATCAAACTAACGATTTGGTCACACTGAGAGATAGACACATGCTTTAACTTTTCTTAAACACAATTTTAAAGCATACTATTTAAGACAACAAATAACTTTGGTTCATTAAACTTTATCATGCAACAGTGTTCCTTGAAAAACTACATATTTCCTGGCTTTTAACATTGGTGAAAAGTTATAGCTTTAGGGGGAGAAAGAGAGATAGAGGCGGCATTGTTGACAAAACTCCAAGCATGAATTTACCTGGATCCAGCGGCAGCAAAGCTCTTCAGTAGTATTACTTGAAAAACCACATATATCAGCTCCAACCATTGGAATTCCAAACAATCCGAAGTTCAAGATAGTAGGAATGGAGTATGCCAAATCGTTCCAGGTAGCAGCATTGTCTCCAGTCCAATGTGACGTGTATCTGCCAGAGCCAAGAAAAGTTGATCTTGCAAGAATGAATGGCCTTTTACCAGTGACATTAACCAACACACTATAAGTGGCTCTAGATTCAAGTAATCCATAAAGGTTATGGACATTATACTCCATTGTATTACCAAAATGTGTAGAAGTGGCTGGAACTGTTCTATAATTGATGGGCAAGTGATCGCCAGAGTTGTTTATCTTGTAGGGAGGGTCATCAAAGGAAGATGATGGTGTAGGAGGGGAAGTTATGAAGTTCGACAATTCATTCATGTCAAGCCACAGGCCATCAAAAGGTACGAGATCCTGGAACTTCTCAATTTCATTTCTCCAAAAATTTTCAGTAGCTGGGTTTAGAAAATCAGGATAATAAACATTCCCTGGCCAAACAACCCCTTGGTAGGGCATATTATCGCGTTTTATGAAGACATCTGCTTCCATGCCTCTCCTATAGGTGTCATATGTATTGTTGATACTAATTCCTGCAGTAAAAAGAAAGACAAACAAAATAACACTTGTCACATGATGATGAGTCGTACTCGTATCTAATTTATCTTATGTAAATGGGAAATTGTTAAAACTTGATGACGGAGACAAGTTACCTGGATCTACTATTAGTACATATTTCTGATCACTCTGGTGAAGCTTCCTGAGAAACGATTTCACCCGTTCCAATGGGAAGTTAACTGGATCGAGTGTGAAGTCCTTAAAACCATCCATGTAATCAATATCAGTCCACATAACCTCCAGCGGTATCCTAGCCTTTGCATAACTATCCACTACCAGTTCAACATCATCAATATTCTTGTAACCCCACCGGCATTGGTGAAATCCTGCACCATATCAATACCATTACTTTGAAATGTGAGTATTTTCATGTGTAATAGTTGTTTCCTAAATAATGAAGGTAGAAGCTGAGAACCAAACAGAACAATTTCAACTTTGATCAGTATAGGAATGACAGGAGTGGAGGAATTTAGCATTCCTAAATTTCTTCTTGGCACACTTTCCACGTGTGAAGTTCAGCACAATGTTCAAAGCAACATCGTCTTTGAGAATGAGGCAACGTATAGTGAGCAATATGCCTTTATCTAAATGTATAATTTTACTTCATATTTAACAAATGATCCGACAAAACACTAGGTGATTTCTTCTTATATGTCCAAGTCTTGGTGGACAAAGTTACCCGGTATCTACCTTGGTGTGAGGTAGTACGGACTCTATGGAATTAGTCTAGGTATACACAAGCTGACCTAGCCGTAAAGATTAGCTCTGGTAGTTGGTAGTGCCGAGGAGATCTGGATGTATTGATCTTTGAATATGAGTTGGTTCTCCGGCGAAGTATCGAAAAGAGTATCCCTGGTGGAGCGCCGGCGGACGGTGAAGCTGAATGGGGTGGTGTTGTGAAGGGTGAACTCTAGGTCTGAGTTTGGGTTAGAGAGGGTAATTGGGGATTGGTTTTCTGATGGGGAGTTGGAGGTTGACGGTGGCGATGGCGGTGGTGGACGGTGGAGAATTTCTTCCGGCACTTCCCATCGTTGGTGGTTTGCGTCGGTTATTCGTATTCGGAGACGGTCGTTTGTTTCCAAACTGTAACGAGGGAGAAAGAAAACAAATTAAATAATTTTTTTAATAAAGTTAATTTATTTACATTAACTAAGCAAAATTATTGTTTAGATAATATTACTTGCATTTCCCCGACTAAAAAAATTGAGTTTATATATAGAGTTAATGATAAAAAAATTACGATTTTCATAACTATATAGTATATTATTTACTTACTTGAATTTTTATTTTATTTTTAAGTTTTATAATGTAATTCTTATTTTCTTTATATTAAAATACGCTCAATATTAAATTGATCTACACATATTTATTATCGATTTGAAAATATATAATAATATTTAATTAACTCAATATTGAATTGATATTTATATCTATCATTCTATCTTGTGACGGTATTCACAATAACAAGACTTTACCTTCTAATTTTTTGGCTAACAATTTTATCTTATGTTTCTGAAAGAGATTGCCTACATAGTATTAACCCGATGTTTTGATCATATAGTAATAACTTTATAATCTATATCAATTCTTTTTCAAAATGTAATAACAATTTTATCAGCTATGTCAGATTTATTTCCAAAATAAATAAAAAGACCTGGCAATGAGGATAAGATTGTGAATATCAGTCCCAAAAACAGAAGAATTGTTGATGAGTTGAAGATTAGCAAAAAGTGAATTTCCAGTGGTAGCCACAGATTTGATTGAGTAACCATAGCCAATTACTTGCTGCTGAGCTTCTTTCTGTTTAATGGATATGGCAGAATAGGGTGAAAATATTGATAAATGGATCAAAAAGAAGATTAAAAAGGTGTTTCTGTGTAAAGATGGAAATTGTGTTGCTTTCATTTTTCTTGATCTATGGAGGAACACAAATTAAAGTGGTCATTTTATGTTTGGTTTTTGTGGAAAACGTCACTTTCCTTTTTGTTTGTCTTCACTCCTATATGATTTTTATGCCTTTTAACTTTTTCTAAATATTTTAAATGGTTGAATATCGTGCCTTAAAATATTTTTTATATAGTTTTAAAATATGTAAATGTTTTTAAAAATAAAAATAAAAAATTTATGTTTGAATTCACGTTGAATAAAAGAATTAAAGATTTTATGGTCAAATTCATGTGGAGTATTAGATAGTTTGATTGAACAATGAGCACCCATAAAATAAATTATATATATTTTCTATAGAAATGAAGAGGAATAGTATAAAAATGAACAATGAGCAATCAATTGTTTGATTGGCACGGTTAAAATTTTTAAAACCAACTCTTCTCTCCTTTACTCCTTGTGACATGATATATGTTGATTGTTATTATATTCTCTTTCACTTGTCGTTTTGAAACTTTTCCTAAAATAAGTTAATACAAAATATATTTTTCCATTTTTCTTTATTCAAAATAATAATGTTCAAATATGATTGTTTTTTTTATGACAGTGTTAAATTTATGCATTTATATTTTTTAATTGGTAGCTAAATGAAATCGGAGTTTGGTAGACAACGAAAAAATTATATATATATATATATATATATATATGTGTGTGTGTGTGCGGGTTCAACCCCCTTTAACCTTTTCGTGTGTTTACATTTTATATATTGGAGTTTCATAGTAAAAATTTTGTCGCCATCCCCATAGTTAATAGAGCATGCACGATCTTAAAAATTTGAATTCGCCATTGACAAATAACATAAATAAACTTTTTCTAAAAATTCGATGGCGTATTTGAGTTGAAAAAAGTTTGATAAAACAAGACAATATAGTGCGGATATTTAAGTATTAGAGACCCAAAGTATTATACGTATTTTCCTCGTACCTTAAGCAACAAAACAAGGGCAATATTGTCTTTTGATCTTTGCGATATCAAACCTGAGAGGGGTAGCTTAGTCATTTCCTTTGTTCACAACGGCTACTTATTTGCTGTCCGTTAGATATAATCATCGTGGGAAATAAGAGAGTCCAGTTCACTGCACGCTCCCCTAGAAGTACAAGTCGGCCGCTAAAAAATTGCCACACACTGCTCAACTTTCTCACACAATTCCAAAAAACAAAGGTAAAAAACCCCATTTTCATGATTCAGGTTTTCTTCAAAAGCCATTAGGGTTTTTTCCCCTCTTCCATTTCAAGAAAATTCTAGGGTTCAAGAATCATTAACAAAAGAAGATGGAGAAGTTGAACAGCATTTTCAAGAAGAAGACTTCACCTAAAGGTAAGATTTTTGTCCCTTTTATTGTTTTTTTTTTCTTTTCATTTTGTGTTTTGAGTTATGATCTATGGCGAAATTTTTGTAATTGATTAACAGAAGCATTGAGGACCAGCAAAAGGGAAATGGCTGTTGCTACCAGAGGTACTGTTTACTGTCTTGGGGTTCTTTTGAAATGACTCACTAGCTGAGAATTTGATTTAGTTTTGTTTGATTAAAGAGTAGCTTTTTTTATTATTTGGATTATTAAAGGGATGTAACAAATTTAGAAATAATACACTCTAAGCTCATTTGGGATCTCAAATGCATAGGCATTAGGCTTGTCCTTGGGCATTTTGCCGTAACTCCCATTTTCCTTGTTATGCAGAAACGTCTTTCTTTTGGGATGCTATAATAGTGGTTGTATTCTTTTAGTTTGATTTTAAATGTACATCGAACGTTATGCTCTATTCCTTGTTAAGCAAGAGATGCTTAATTTGTTTGGACGTCTAGAAATATATGCACCAGCAAAGAGGAAAAAACAATCGCACTAGGCGGAAATTTCTGTCTTTGATATTTGGATTTAGCAATACTTAAGCTTATCAAAGGTAGAGACTAAACTCAAGCAATAGACTATTAGGTATATTAACTAAAGGAAACCCCTCGGAAATATTAGGTTAAGGTTGTGTTGTGCCTTTGTTCTTGGTAGTTTCTACTTTGCAATTAGAATAACAAAGTTGAGTGATTGTGAAAAGGTTCCATTTTTATGTGAAAGAGGTTATTGAGATATACTGGTTGAAGGTTCATTAGTAATTAGACAACAAAGTCATGTAATATCTGTAAAGGATTAGGTAAAAATAGGTGGATGGCTCGGCTCTATTACCTTCTGTTTCAATTCTCTATGGCACTGGTGCTTCATAACAGGATATGATATTAGGAAAAATGGTATAATTAGTTTTTGGGACTAAAAGGTAGTTCAGGTGCATTGCAAAACAATATAACCTGCTTTGCCTGGACAATTCACAGAGTTGGAAGAAGTGCTATGTTGGCTAAAAACTAGAAGTACTTGTTTCCTTTGCAAGTGACTAGCTGTCTGAACTCAAGTACTTAAAGGTTTTATTGACTCTTTTATTTACTTTCCGTGTCATGTTGAGTGTCATTCTTAATTTTGATAAAGCTATCATGGGGTCAGCTGTTTTGCTAAATGAGGAAACAAATTACATATTCCAGGTTTTATATTTTGAACTATCATCATTGTTACGCCATTCTAGTATATTTCACATCATTGTCATTTGCACAAGCAAGGAGTTGGAGAATGCAAAAAGCATTAAACAATTTTTGGAAAAAAAAAAAATCATTGTCCAGAATGTATCATAGTTGGATGTCATTCTTAATTTTTATTTAGATCATTATCATTTTGGTAAACAAGAAGACAAATTTTTATTCCAAGTTATCTTTTGTGTTGTTATATAATGGGTTGGAATATGATAACTTGCATTGTCTTCCTCGTTTCTTACTTGGTGTTTTTACGTTTCATTAATTCTTCTCTTTTTTTGTTCATGTATAACTTTAGGCATTGAACGGGAGATCTCATCCTTACAAATGGAGGTAAGTTATTAGGAAAATGTTCATAGACATGAGGCAAGTGTGTTTGTTCAGTAAGTTAAGAGTATTCTTGCGAAATTTAAGTCACGAAAAAAGTTCAGAGTATTCTTACAATAATCATCTTTTCATCTGTGTAAATCTACTTATTTGTGAAGTTATATAATTCTTATTTCACTATCTCGTAGGAGAAAAAGTTAGTTGCAGAGATCAAGCAAACAGCCAAAACAGGAAACGAGGCAAGTGTTTGCTCATTAATTCTTTTTTTCCTGACTACTTCACTTGGAATTGTGATCATTCTAATAGATAATGCCTTCTAGTGGGTGCTTATTTGCATTGGAAACTGCATACTTTTTGCATCCTGCTGTTTCTTTTGTTTATCAGAATTTGAAATACATACTCTTGAGAGATGAGCCATTCTCCGATTGCATAAATCATTGTCCTTCTGAAGAATTCATGCATAGTCACAACCTTAGAGAAAGAATATTTGATGGTAGTATCAGAATTTGAAAGACATTGATTTGCCTTTGTGATTTGTTCATTTTTCTTTAGAAAAAATGACCTGTGTTTGGGTAAGGTCTCCAATTTAATTGAATCGAGCCAAGTACCCACAGATATTGGCGTGATTCGAATATACTTGCCAAATGTGCGAAAGAATTAGAGCCCAACATAGCTTAACTAATTTCAAATTCTTAATGTTCATTCTCTCACCAACAAACAATTCACAAAATTTGTATATGTATTGGTTTATGTATTTACATAAATGCTTGTATGAGGGAGGGTGATCCATGTTAGCTGGAAGTGTTTCAAAATAGAAAGAGAGGCTGAAACGAAGCACTTAACTGAGTTGTTGAAAAAGAAAGGCAGTGCCCGAGGCACTTGCTAACGAGCAGGTAGGACTGACTTGAAAAAGAGGCTCTACTTGAAAGGAATGTAGTAACTCGATTTATGCTCGCTAAGACTCAAGTTTGAATCTAGGCTAATTAAAGGCTTACAAATTCATTGAAGACTCGATTCAGTTGGTCTTTAAAACACTGATTTTACTCTGTTTAATAAGACTCAAGTTTGAATCAAGGCTAATTAAAGGCTTGGATATTCATTGAAAACTTGATTCAGTTGAAGCTTTGGTGGTAAACATAGATAATTATCCTTGTGATCCAGGTGAGAAATGAATGGCTTTTTTAAAAAAAGGGTGAGGAAAGAACTCATCTCATCCGCTATAAGAAATTTCTTTTTCCTCAAAAAGTAAATCTTGCTCACACACTTTGACTTGTCAGGCCGCCACCAAAATTCTAGCTCGTCAACTTGTGAGATTGCGGCAACAAATTGTCAATTTGCAAGGTAGTCGTGCTCAAATTAGGGGTGTAGCAACTCATACACAGGTCAATCTTTTCTCCCGATTATTATTGTGTATGAAAAGTAATTGAAAATTTTAGTGGATCTTATATGTGACTTCCTTTCTCTTCTGTAGGCACTATATGCTAGCACCTCTATGTCTACTGGAATGAAAGGTGCAACTAAAGCTATGTCTGCCATGAACAAGGTACTGATTATTTGTTGGTTGTGAGTTTTTTTCCTCTTTTCCTTTTAATCCTCAGAACTTTTGAAAGTGAAATATTTGTTTCCTACAGCCTAGCCTTTAGCTCATCCATTTTGTTTGCGTTTGTGCTACCATTTAATTATTAAGGTGTAAATCCCTCCAATTGGTTTATTCTTTGTGTTTTTACTTCTCAGCAAATGGCACCTGCAAAACAAGTTAAAGTGATCAGAGAATTCCAGAAGCAGTCATCACAATTGGACATGACAGTAAGCACTTTCATCCTTCTAAGCGATGCTTCACATTATTGACTTACTTCATGCTATAAGTTCTCTGTACTTATGGACAAATGCAATGTCTTGAAGGCAACTAAACATTTCTGTTTGATGTGAAGTTCAGACTAAGCATACTAATGAAACTATCTGATTTTTCCAGATTGAGATGATGTCTGAATCCATTGATGAGACTTTGGATAAAGATGAAGCTGAAGAAGAAACTGAGGAGCTTACAAACCAGGTTCAATTATTATTCATCATGCAGTTGGTCTGT